GTTAAAGCCGAAATCAAACTTGTGTAAATTTCTGAAACATACATTTCACTATTTAACCCAATGTAAAGCAAAACAAATAATACCGTTTTGAGCTATAAAACCAAGGCAACCCTTTAAATACTAGTCAAAAGTTTCTGGATCGTGATAGATGCATACGAAACTTCAATTAATTGTTTGTATTTTTCAATCTTTTATATCCGATAAAGATGAACACAAAATCTATCGGATAAAAACTACCGATTTTTCTATAAGATAAAATTTATCCTTATTGGAGTCAAATTTGTCATATGGATTCATAAAGGACAAAAAAATGTCGTCAGTAACGGAACAAAAAATACCCCCATGGTAAAATAATCCGTCATTCTTTAATACAAAGTACTATTGTGAATTATTTTTTCGGATATTAATCTTTTAGACATACATTAAAAATGATGTCCTTGATATGCAACCATGAACACAATGAAAAGTGAATCTGTGAAAGTGTTCCATGTTTATTCCATTTAAATAAAGACTTGTTATGATAATACAATATATTTAACTATTTTATCAAAAAATTTAAATAAAAAAGAATATCTTAAACTCTTAAACACAATTTCAAGTTTAAAAATTCCTCAATTTAAAATCCTTCTTAAGGAATACGGGATATATTTGCGTGATCTTATACTTGTTTAATTAAAAAAATGCCTTCAAATACATATGTTTATTTGTATTCAATTTTCCACAAAACATATTTAGCTTATTTTAAATGAAAAAAAAAGAACAGAGAATAAAAACACTGTTGAAGAGAAAATACATATTCGTGTTAAATTCGCCTCAGTTTAATTTGTTAATTCAAGTTTGACATCTAAAATCTTAATCCGCAATCCACATTTACCCGACAATCTTGTATATTGTATTTTCTCAATGGAATAACCTTACGTACACGTGACCATCAGAAGCGAAGACAAAAATTATATTTGTAATGGTATTTATCAAAACTTAAATGTTTGAATATTTAGTAGAATATGAATTTGCCAAATAAGCGAAGAATTATAATCTTGCATTGTTCAACATTGGAGAAATGACTCAAGTTGAACATTAATCATGTTAATACTGATTCAATATTTTATTATAGTCTCACCACATACAAACATAAAATGAGAATCACAGAAATAAACATAAAACATTAAAACATTTGCATTGTATGTACCAATCTTAAAAAGAATAATGAGAGACTTTTAAGACACAATATATTTACTCATTTACATTTAAAATTTACAGTGTCCATCTGTACTATATGAAAATAAAACATTTTTTCTTTGAGAACTAGGAAATAAAATGCCGTTTCTTTTCAATGAAATATTGCTGATGTTTTTGGCAACTATAGCAGCAACATTGCCGTTATTAAATAAAAATATAAATTTTTCGCTATCTGATAATTAAAGGTTAAAATGTTCATTAAAATGTTTAGCTTAATGTATCATAATTTGTCTTAAATCTACATATAATGGACATTCTAAAATGACACGAAGTTCATCTTCAATAGTAGAGCTACAACACATGTCATCTCGTGGACTTCTTTTCTTTCATACTTTCCAGTTTCTATTTTTAGTGGAGCTATCCCACATCTAAATTTTGCAAAAGCACTGTTGTTTTTAATTGGCGGAATATTTTTTAACAAATAACAGTTGGCCAACAGTATATTTTTAAGCCCATTTCGCTCAGTTGAATAGAAATTCCAATTTTAACTGTTCTGTCGTAGAAATGTAATCATGTTATTGTTTGTACGTAGAACATGTATCATTATATTAAAATGTGTCAGTCCCAGCCAAGATTCACTGAATAACCACGAAATGTTTACAGATGATAAATAAATTTTACACAAAAATTCATGAATCTGTATGAACGTTATGTACGATGAAGTTAATTAAGTGTTCACAAGAAAGTAAGTATGAATGTAAATTTTATTTAAAGTCGGAACATATATATATACACTTTAACCGTGAGATGAAATATAAGCTTTGATGAGCTCTATAACCGACTATCATATAAAAACCGCAATGAATGAACGTTACCCAATTAGAGATGAACGTTTGACAAATGCACGTTATCTGATGTACACAGTTATACACGATTGACGAACGCACGATACACGGTTAAGAATGAATGATTGATGAACGCACGATACACGCACGATACACGCACCATACACGATTAAGAATACACGATGCACGCACGTTACACGGAAAATACACGGAACGATGAATGATGAGCGCACGATTGGTACACGCACGATACACGCACGATACACGCACGCAACACGCACGATACACGATGAACGCACGGAATAATGGTCAGTTTGAATTTTAGAAGGTCTGTATGAGTGCCAATGAGACAACTCTCCATCCAAGTCAAAATTTATAAAAGTAAACCATTATAGGTCAAAGTACGGTCTTCAACACGGAGCCTTGGCTCACACCATACCATGTTTATATCATATATGTTTGTCCTATGAAAATATATTTTAAATTTCGTCAATGCCAGGTGCGTGAAACTATGTAAGATAACATGAGATATTCATAAGTCCAAAACAATCGGATTGCTACTAAATATATATGAGATAACACAAATAAACAATGATAAACAATACAATTATGTAACATTTACAAACAATATTTAAAGATGTAAGAAATTATATAAATCCTAAATAATCAAATGATGAAAAACAATAAGCATGATAAGCCGAAACACCAAAACCACTCCAATCCCTGTTCCACATCTGGGACTACTACAGTCCCAGTCCACTTATGGCGCCCGTCGTGTTGATAAATTAATACCGTCCGTGCCTATACAAATTCACCGACCATCTTGCTTTTGTATACTGATAGATAAGATATAAGTGCTTTATCAGCTTGTTTCTTAATACCATTTATCTGACTGAAGTACATGCTACATGTCTGTTTACGAAGTGTTATGAGTTATCAAAAGAATGTACTTCTGGATACTTGTGTATTTATCAGTTTGGAATTCTAATTGTTACAATCGGATTATTCAAAATGTTTTTGTTTACCGGATCCAATATAGAGGCTATGATAATAATTAGGTTTATTTTCGTCATGTTCAAGTTAGTATCCGGCCCCGAATTAAGCAGAGGTCTTTTTTCATCGATTGATGCTAACAAAATGCCGCAATGGTAGACATTGGTCAAGTTCGGAAAATAAGAATAGAGGGGTAAAATATATAAACTACTATTATTGTAATGTAGTATTAATAAAAGCAAGAACACACTAAATAAGTACAAATAAGTTGAAATTACCTGAAAAAAAGAAAAAAATAAAGGGAAAAGAAAAAAAGGGGGTCCATGCACCAAACGCCTGTGCTTCATGTTTGCCTATGCTTATTCCGTCAACAGAGGGGATAAAGGAAGTCTTTCCAAATTATAATATAACAAGAGCTGAACATTGAAGTAGTTTATACATATGTAGTAGGTAAATACACCGTTTGCGAATTGACACATTTACGATTGAACTTTTATTATATAATTACACTATGACCCAGTATGTAATTTTACTAAAATTCAAATTATAACGATATCTGTTGAAAGTATACATGTAGCTTTGGGACAAACATTCTTATCACACACACACTCTATATAAATAACCATATAATGTCTACTTTACTCTGATATTTAAAGGAATAGAGATTATTTTCTTTTCAAAATTGTAAATGGTAAGTCATATATATATACAAAAGTACATTCACTATAAATATAGCATTGAGCTGTATTCTCCGATTCTAGATCAAAATGCGTAGATTGTACTTATAATAACTTCTAAAACAAGTTTGTCTTGCCCATAATTAGTTTGCCTGTACCAAGTCAGGACAGTTGTTTTTCATTCGTTTGATGTGTTTGAGCTTTTGATTTTGCCATTTGATAAAGGACTTTCCATTTTGAATTTTCCCTGGAGTTCGGTAGTTTTGTTGTTCTACTTTTTTTGCAAGTGTCCCTGGGCACATGAAGCCAAACTCGATATAACTCATTCTGGTAAATATATGATTGATTGATTTTTGTTGTTTTAACGCCACTTTCAACACTATTTGCTATATTGTGGCGGTACGTTTTTATTAATGGAGGAATCCGGAGAAAACTACCGACCTTCGGAAGGAAACTGACAACGTGCGGGGTTCGAACTCGCAACCTCAGTGTTGGTAGATATAATTACGAACACTACATACGGCGGCACCTCTTGTGTGATCTTGTAGTCAATAATAAATTGGCAGTGATATTTTGATATTTTAAACGCGCTGTAACATCGCAAGCAATAAATTGATCCAATATCCGCCATGCACGGATAATTAAGTGCATACTGTTATTGTGCAAGCAATAAAAATTTCACACTTCGATGTCCAATGTTATTTTGCTTTCGCATAGAAAACATGAACGTTTTCAATGTTTTCAAGTAGGAGTTGTACTTGTTATATGTTATACATGTTTTTTTTTCGAATCAGAGTACCTTTATACTCTAGAATGAAAAACAATTGAAACGCTGTATGCTCCCTGCATTGCATATTTAAATGGAGAAAATATTTATATTTCAAAGTTTCATATTATTGGTATACATGGAGACAAATACACGTTTTCTATTATAGCTAATTTTCCACCTGTGTAAATGTTTTACAATTCAAAGTGGAATACCACCCGGAAAACCAACCAGAGATTGTCAACTTCAATAGTTTTTAGCAAAATCAACATCAACACATGCGGCCGCGATACTTTCTCGAGAAGTTGTATGTTTTTCTGGTCTGAAGTTACCTGTAAGGTAGGTGACGCTCAGCTTCCTCGGTTAACGAGGCCCCTGTGTGCATGTATGTTTGTATATATATATACAAGTCTAAATTGAAAACAACGTTCAAACCTATGATTGCGTTGGATAAAAACCGCAATTTATATATATATATATATAATAATAAATTATATATATGTATGTATGGAATGAAAGACTTTGATTTTCTATTTTCAGAATATGCTGTCTCCATTTCAAAAAGAAAAGTTGGAATTTTACTTCAGATTCTTCGGTAAGATTGAACTGCTGCAGCAGCAGAAGGTGTTTTAACCACAGGGACTCACTGATTTGTATTACTTTATTAAAGTATTTTATGATGGGATCAATATTTCTTTGTTTTCTAGGAATGTGCAGTTAACTATCCACATTCGTATACTGAAAAAAGGAAATACTAAAAAAATAAATAAAAAACATTGATTAATTTTTTTTTAATCTGCTAACCAAGTCCCTGTGGTTTTTACACTTTACGAATTAGACATGGGTCATTAAAAGTAGATGTATAAACTAAACTGACTTCTTTCTGTGGGGAAATGTTATTGCAAAAAGTATTCATTTTAAATTATTTCGATCTGATTAAAGTTTGAATAATTATTTTGTAGATACAAAGGGAAATAACTTTTTGGAATATAACAATCTCGGAGAATTTGAAGAGGTAGGTGTTTATATATAGAGTACTAAAGGAAGGTGTTTGTATCGGTAGCCGGGTTGATATGGCCAGAGACGTAGGCGAGGGAGATGTTAACCTGCAGTCTATTTCTAGGCTTCCATGCAGTCCCTTTATCTGAAGATTGCTGACTGATAATCATTGGAGATGCTATTTTCCTGGGTACTAATGTCATTCATGTTTTTTGAATTAAGGAAATTTTGATTTTATGGTTTAAAAAATTCTGCTTACAAGGCTATGTACAAATGTATACAGGTTACCGGTATGCGAAATTTGTATTTTTGTTGAACACTTAATTTCATGATTTACCAGAACCCTCAAAATCCACAAACAAATTAGTATCCAATATAATATTGAATTCATGGTAAGTTCCTTGCAATACAATAATACTGTGTGAATCTTAATTTTTTACAGAAGATATTAAAATTTACAAAATGGTCGTCATCATCAACTGCAGCTCAGGAATTTGAAGAAGTTCATGAGACATTCTATGAAGTATTGAAAGAAAAAGCTGGAGAATATTATGATGGTAGGTGATTTATTGCATATTTTAAATTGCTAGATTCTTAATTTAATAGATTCTTCATTTTACAATTAAAAAAATTAACTATGTTTAACTTTCTACTACCTTATGTACATGATGTATAGCAGAGACATATATATATATATGTCTCTGGGTATAGTTGACCTTAAAATAAGTCCTTGGAAATTTCACCTATAAAGTAGAAAGCTACACACAAAAAAACAACATATTACATGTATTTATTAAGTGTCCACACTAGATCAGACATATTTTCTTGAAATACCCCAATGATTGTTCGCTTTAGTTGGAAAAGAAATGATGCAATTTTTATTTTAAATCAATGTTATAATGTATGAGTTTCAAAACTTAATGTTTTTAGAATTTGCAGGGTCTGAACCAGAGTACCAAGCTGACAAATATAGTCCCTAGTGTGGACAGTGTATAACTTGCAATTTCTTTTCATACACTTTCCAAATTTATTTCTTTATATTTTATGCATGAAATATTAAGTAAGGAGATGAAATTACATATTAAAAAAATTTGGGTGCTGAATCTTTATGTAAAGTAGTGATTGGTCCAGTTAAAAAAGGTCAAAAACTAGTATGTCTGAAGCTGTCAAACTGAATTTTAGACCCCCTTAACATAGAATTGTCAATATTTTGAGTTAGAGCTGGTAGACTTTTCTATAATTTTTATATTATTTGTCCCTATAGTAGTACACTACACTGTAAAAATCTTTTTGAGATAGAGCAGGTGCGATTTTTTTAATTTGACTTTATTGTCTAAAAGAAATGCACTACGAAATAACTGTGTTCTCGGGCCTTATGGCTGAAAATACAGTGGTTTTTTTTAACTAAATTTTGTTAAATGAATATCAGAGAGGGTCTGGATGGGGTTTACAGAAAAGAGAATAATGGGCAAAAGGTGCAGAATAAAGAGAGATAAAAACAAGGAGTAGACAAAAATATGTATAAAAACTAAAGAATAGAGAAAAATAGGCCAAAAAAATTAACAATAGAAAACAATGTGCAAGATAAATAATGAAAAGAGAAAAAACGATAAAAAACTAATAATTAAGAAATGAAGGATTCCTTCCCCATGCAGACCTTCATAAAAGTTATAAATTCTGGCCAGTTTAATATCGTGTGAACATCTGAAGGATGTTATCAGATAGATTTATAAAACTTCTTTTTCATGCTCGATTCAACTGGTAAAAAGCGTTGCCTTATCTTACAGGTACCTTTTTATGCCAATGCTGTAGCGGAGGGGGCATTCATTTTACCCTTATCCGTCTGTCGTCCAAAAATTAGTTTCCTTTCTCTAACTTTAGTTTGTCTCAACCAAATGTTAGGAAAATTATACACAATACTTACTACCACCAAACACAGATCAAGATTGAATTTGGGTGGCATCACTTTCACCCTTCTTGAGTTATATTGTCCCTTTATTAATGGAAACATTGCTAAACTTGCAATTTCCGCACTCTAACTTTAGTTTGCCTCAACTAAATAATATTAGCTTATAAGCAATGCTTATAACCACCAAACACAGATCAAGTTCGAATTTGAGTGGCATCACTTTCACCCTTCTCGAGTTATGTCCCTTTATAAATGGAAATATTGCTAAATTTGCTGTTTTCGCACTCTAACTTTAGTTTGCCTCAACTAAATGTTATGAAACTTACACACGATGCTTATTATCACCGAACACAGATCAAGTTCGAATTTGGGTGGCGGCAATTTCATCCTTTTTGAGTTATGTCCCTTTGTAAATTGAAACAAATTGTAGATATTGCCGTATATTTAAAAGCGGGTGCATCTGTGTCCCATGGACACATTATTCATTTATTTTGTTTGGTTTTTAATATAGTTTTTCACTTTTGTAGATAAGGTAACCTTGTCTGAATGGTTGGCATTATGGGAAGCCATCATACCAGGTTGTATGAGTATGGTGAATTGTCCAATATGGCTCCGACTTCTCCCACGATCTCTCTTCAGAATCATTGACAGAAAAGGTATGTATCAATATCCCATTAGTGTAAATGAAAATATTTGGCAATGTTTGTCATAACTTTTGATATCTTCACCAATACCTTTTGAGATCTGCTTCAATACCTTTTGAGATCTACACCAATACCTTTTGATATCAATAGCAGGTCCTATTGAGATCTACACCAACATCTTTTGAAATCTATACCAGTACCTATTGATATCTTTACCAGTACTTATTGATATCTATACCAGTACCATTTGATATCTATACCAGTACCTATTAATATCTTTACCAGTACCTGTTGATATCTATATCAGTACCTATTTAAATCTACACCAACACCTTTTGATATCTATACCAGTACCATTTGATATCTATACCAGTACCTATTGATATCTTTACCAGTACCTATTGATATATATACCAGTACCATTTGATATCTATACCAGTACCTATTGATATCTTTACCAGTACCTGTTGATATCTATATCAGTACCTATTTAAATCTACACCAACACCTTTTGATATCTATACCAGAACCTATTGATATCTATACATATTGAAATCAACACCAACACCTTTTGATAAAATTGAGAATGGAAATGGGGAATGTGAAGGCCACCAATGGGTCTTCAACACAGCGAGAAAATCCCGCACCCAGAGGCAGGCTTAATTCAGCTGGCCCCTAAACAAAAATGTATACTAGTTCAATGCAAATTCCAGAACCTATTGAGATCTATACTACCGTAGTACGTACTTGTAACTTTTGATATCTAAATCAGTACCTATTGAGATTTATACCAGTACCTTTTGACATCAATATCAGTACCTTTTGAAATCTACACCAATGACTATTCCTATTGAAATCTACACCTATACCTTTTATATCTATACCAGTACACATTTAGATCTCCACCTATACCATTAGATATGTATATTAGTTCCTATTGAAGTCTACACAAATACCTTTTGATATCTTTACCTGTACCTATTGAGATCTACTCCAGTACCTATTGCAATCTATGCCTATCCCTATTGAGATCTACACCAATACCTTTTGATTTATATACCAGGTCTTATTGGGATCTACACCAGTACCTTTTGATATCAATATCAGTACCTATTGAGATCTACCCCAGTACCTATTCCAATTGAGATATGCACCTACTAGTAGACTGTTTGAAATATATATATCAGTACCTATTGAGATCTCCACCTATATACAATTAGACATCTATTACAGTTCTTATTGAAATCTTCACCAGTTCCTTTTGATATATTTACCAGAACTATATTGAAATCGACACCAATATCTATTGAACTGTAGACATTAACAGCAGTACAACAGTTACTAGGGAAATAAAAGTATTTATTTTTTATGTATTTACAGAAGATAATATAATAGATGAAGAAGAATTGCGTGACTTCTACATAGAGCTCGTCAATTTACAACCAGAAGAGGCCAAGAAAATAGCGAAGAAAGGTTACGAAGAAATGACAGATGTAAGTTATTTTGAAGCCACATTTATTTACACCACATCACTGAGGGTCTGGATTGGGGCTTTCATTTATGTATTCTTTAATTTTGTAGGTCATTGTTTTCTATTCTTTATATTTTAGCACCCTTAATTAGTCTCTTTTCTTTATTTGTTTTGGCCAATTTTTCTCTATTCTATTTGTTTGTCCATTTAGCTGTAGATTGGGTCCATTAATCTCTATTCTGTTAACCCAATCCAGACCCTCAATACTTTACAATTTTTTTAATGTGATGTTTCCAGCTACTCATTATTCCAAACAACTTTCTGACTCAAATACTGTATTTTTAACATGTTTAATAATAAAAGTAAAGTTTTGTTTTCGTCATAACGTACTTAGTATTAAAACTTTTCTAAATCAGAGCCATTTTTATAGGAATAAAACGATACAACACACTAGCTTAATACACAAGAAAGAAAAAAAGACATTTAGAAGTGAACTTTCAGACTTCTAATTTCTGACCTAAAAATCATGGGGAATTCAATGAAAATTTTGTGAAATCGTAACAATTGTTGGTAATAAAAAGCTGTTTAATGCAATTCTCATGCTATTACAAGAAGTTCAAGTGCTTGTATAAAAAGTCTTCTGTTGATTTTTTCTTGCAATCTCAATATAATATTCTTGAAGTAGAACACAGTCGATTGCAAAAGGTAAAATTGGGGCTAATTTTTTAGCAAGATATTGAAAAAAAAGTTTTTTAAATGCTGGAGATCCCATTTCCTTTTTTTGGCACTAAATTACGTCGCAGTGTATTCTTAACATGCTAAATGCAACATCATCATGCAGCTATTCCCGCCATACATCATAAAGCTATATGAACTACTGTCATCTAAATTTATTGATGATAGAAAGTAAACAGTCTTCATGTGCCTCAAATGTTATGCCCCAGCAGTAGATTTCTGGTGCTATTTATACAAAATGTTCGTTTTCCATTGCGGATAGTTTCAATTCATGTAACTGATTTGATGACATTATGATTTTTCCTCAAATAGTGGATGCTTATCATTTGCAATTTTTCGAAAACATCGTGTTAAATTTGGATGCAATATTATCTGCCCTTGCTACTGTATCGTATGCACTTGAGAGCTAAAGGAGGAGATATGATAAAAGCCATTATTTGGCTGTTGAAATTGCAAAAAATTGAATTAATTTTATTTATAAATCAATAGGTTAATAGAATGTGGACATTTTAGTTAATAAAGGTCACTTGTGGTTTTACTATGACATCATTAACATATTGAAATTTTTTTTTCTGTAAATTGTGGCTCTGGTATTGTTAACAATTTTGGTTTTCAGATACTCACAGAAAACAAACGGGAATATATAGTGTTAATTCTTAGTCCCAATGTATTTGGATGTTAACTCAAGAAGCCCATTATGGATTATAACACATTTTGCTATAGATGGAAAATTACCAAAAAATCGAGATATTTAAGTAAAAGTGTATTTCCCTCAAAGACACAGCTTACATGGCACTCATTTTGTTTTCTTTAAAATAAAATAATTATGTGGTTCTAAAAGCATATGTTGGCAATGCCAACGTTTTACTTGTTTTCCTGGCCTAAGTTTAAATTTGCTAGAAAATTCATATGTATGTACTGCAGGCTCGTAGCCAGGAATTTTCAAGGGTGGGTTTCATCGACTATTGACAAACAAAATCTTAACTTTAATAGTCACTAGTCACAGTTCAAACAGAAAGTCGACTTTAATAGTGTTTTCAAAGGGGGTTCGTACTAACCCCACGTACCCCCCTCGCTACTGACCTGTACTGATTATAACTTTACACTTTCAGTATGGACGATATCCACTAAACTTAGAAGGATATGAACAGATCTTTTCCAATTTCTTGTTTGGGAGAACACCATATGGCCCAGGAAGATATATCTTTGGTTGTTTCGAACATAGAGTGGAGAGCACCAAATTCAAGCTTATTCAAAATGCACCAGACATTGAGGAAAAGATAAAGCAAAGACAAGACAGTGGCAGAGCAGGGATGGGACATACAGGAACCCGACGACCAAGCTTAACCAAGAAAAAATCTTAAAAATGATATTGGAGCATTGGAATTTGTATTTCTATGGTTTCAGGGTTAACAGAAATGTTATGATATTTTTGAGAGCACCTGGCATTAGGGTCAACATGTTTTATTTCTACAATACCTATCTTGATTGATGATATTATATAACTAATCCTGTAATATTTGAACCAGGTGATTAATACAGGTGTCATGACTAGAGATTTTATAAATTGTGAAATTGTTTGGAAAATAACGAGTATGTTTAAATTCAGTACGTTTTTTTTAGAAGGGACCTATCTTATTGAAATATTATCTTTAGAAAGATCCTTGATTCAGGATTTGACTTTTATAAGGTCTTTGGTATAACTTAGATTTTTAAGGTCCACTATATAAAGACCAAAACGTCAGCACAATACTCAATAATACATCAGGGGTTAATCAGAGTTCCAGAAATCTTTTTTATTCCCTGGCATGGTCCTTGAAAAAATCTGCCGGTCTTCACTATTATTTCAATTTCAAAATACCAAAATTGTGTTGGTCTTTTGCAAAATTTTTGGGACAAAAACTTTGGACCACCACTTTTCAAGAACTCTGGGGTTTCATTTTTATGTCTCTCCTTCGATGATAAACCATATGTATTAAAAATTGTCATAGAAAGTCCTTCGAATTGTACCATAACTTTTGTTTTGGGAATGGTGTGGGATCATGTCTGTCCCACTCGTATCATTTTTATTGAACTAAATATATTGAAAACAGTTGAGGTTCCTACCCATTAACCATATATATTTTTATATTCTTATTTTTCATTCTAATGAATTTCCATTAGAATTTCCATTCTAATGCAACATCTTTTTTATCGTTCAATTTGATTGGATAACATCACCAATTTTCATGGCATTAATTCACAACAATTGATGCTATGAAAACATACGCGCAAGCGTAGACGACGTATGACAAATTTTGAATATAGTGTTTTGACGTTGTTTTCTGTCAGTTTCATTAGAATGCTAACGCGTCGCCAGTAAACTTAATTTGCGATAATCACCAATCGATGCCGTCGGAGCTTAAAATACAATAAAGTTATCTCCTAATTACTAGAATGCCTTTTCTTTTCTAAAGATAAATATATGTTTTATATATTTTCTTTAAAGATGAAGAGTAGGAGTTTATTGAAGTCCACTAAAACAGTTTTAGTAAGATTAAACTTCTCTGTGCACTGTTTTATTCCGATTTGCTGGATGGAGTTTACAGAATAAAGATTAATGGGGATAAAAATATAAAGAAGAGAGAAAAATGTACCGGAAAGATAATGATTACAGAATAATTGGGTGCTGAAATATAAAGAATAGAAAAATGGCCTTCAAAGACCCCCACCCAAATCCAATTTTTCTATCAGTTTTTAAAAACTAATACTTATATAGCTTGACAGTACATTTCCAAATTAATTATGGATAAAAGAAAGTCGTCACAAAACATATTCAATGTATCTATGTTAAATTGCAAGCAATTTAAGTCCGATAATGAATTTTCAATGATATATTTTTACTGCTTTTGACCTACAATAGATATCTGGTTGCCTTTTGAAGGATCTATGGTGAGATTATGCATTGAATCATTACAAATTTAATTAAATAGAATAGAGAAACAAAGGATATGGGGTATCCATCCATGACACAAAATCAGTACATGCACAGCAAAAAAAAAAAAACAAACACAGGAAGCAAAGGAACAGCGCTTTTATTGCTCTTCTACATCTCAAAGTCACAGTGAGTCCTTCAGCAGTTTTATTGTATTGTTATCATCAGGAATGCTCATTTGTTTTATTCAATTATTCAAATTTTTTTTCAAAATGTGAATATCTGAATTTGAAACAAAATACAAGTAATACCATTGTTAGGGCAACACTTGGATCTATAGAAATGACTTTTGTGTACTTAGTGATTACAGTTTTACACTACCTCAAGAAAATAATCTCTTGTGATGCAGTATTTGGGACTATTACTGATTTTTTATTTTTTGGTCCAGCTGTATCTATGTACACAAATTTCGAGTTCTGTAATTTTGCTCAGAGTGACCTAATTTTTGTGCTGATAGACTTAATGACATTTGCAAAACCATTTTTTTTTATCTGTGACGTAAAATTTTGTCTATCATGACACCTAAACTTATGCAGGAACATTTTATTTGAAATGCAACCGAACTCGAGATTGGTGTATTTTCTGAAGTTACATTTTAAAACTTTTTCAATATATTTTTGTTTGTTTTTGATATATATCTATATATATGCATATAAACGTTACATTATATTATTTGTATATTAACCTTTCCTAAGATTTAGTTTCACAAGACGACTCCAAAACTATAACATATAACAGTTTATACTCTTAGCTTGGAAATATTTTTGATATTCAGTAATGCCAGTGGCTGATCCATTAAAGGACGTACGTCCCCCTTTATTTGAAAAAAAATCTGATTTGTATAAAATCGGACCCAAAAACATTTTGACTCGCTCTGCTCTGCTTTATCAGAGTATTACGTTTTCTGGAATTGCACCCCAAACTTTAAAAAAATCTAGGATCCGTCCCTGAACTCAGAAAAAGGTAAAGTAAGTATTCAACAGAAAGTAATTTTGATCACAAGGGTTAATATATTTGAATCAAAAGATGTTACAAACTGCATAAATATATCGTTGAAAGTTGGAATTGGAAAATAAGTTTTGGGAAAGGACCACTCATTTTGTTTAGCATTTACAATCGTTTTATTTTTGACAAACCACAATTTGTGTCTGTTATATATACGATTATTAAATTAGTTACTTATCAGTGTTTGTGCAGTTCTGTTTAAATAGAATTCAATAACAAAACATCAACACCAGTACATCAAGGATATACATGACTACGATGACAGTGACTGCTGATAGTTAAAAACATAACGAGGTCACGTTGATCATAGGTTGATTGATCCTTACTTATGTGACGACCAGTGGCAAATATTTCATGCATGTTCAGGACGATGTTGATCATAGGATCGATACTGTTAAAGGAGTATATGCTTACCCAAGAAAAAGATAGATTGATTGTTTGATTGTTGTATGCTTAACGTCCAGTGGCAAATATTTCATGCATGTTCAGGACGATTTTTATCATAGGATCGGTACTGTTGCAGGATTATCTGCTTTGCCGAGAAAAAGATTAATTGATTGATTGATTGTTGTATGCTTAATATCCAGCGGCAAATATTTCGTGCGTCTTCAGGATGAATACAAATTAACAAGTATTTATACAATATGTAGGTCCTGCAGGTTAGATCGGCTGGGATGAAGGCAGGAATATTTTAACTGCGACTGGAAAATGAGGATATTTTGGATAGGGGCAAAGCGTTGAAATCTCTACACGAGGCCGGGTTCAACATCCCCATTCCGACTGGATGCCCACTTTAGCAAGGTTTTTACTGTCAATCATGAGAAGTCCAGGGATGACCGTACTGTTATATCCTAGTCGACCCTTAAAAAAAGAGCCGATACAATCCATGAAACACCTTTTAATATGTTATGTTGTGCAGCAGATTCTATAATGGACGGTAAACATATGTCAAATTTTGCAAATATCTTCTAAAAATTAAAAGATGTGGTATGATTGCCAATGAGACAACTTTAAACCAGAGACCAAACGACGTAGAAGTTAACCACCATAGGTCACTGTATAGCCTTCAACGATTAGTAAACCCCGACATAAATTGTACCGCACAGTAATCTATACAAGGCCCCCTACATGACAAATGTAAAACGATTCAAACGAGAAACTAACGAAATGACGTATGTACACAGAAAAGCAAAAAACAAATACAAGAGGCTCTGAAGAGCCTGAATCGCTCACCTGTATTTCAGAGGAGAAGATTTTTAAATGTTAGCAAACTTGATGAACAAATTGTGTAAAATTGTCTTTAAAGGGCAATAACTCCTTAAGGGGTCAATTGACAATTTTGGTCATGTTAACTTTTTTGTAGATCTTACTTTGCTGAAAATTAATGCTGCTTACAGTCTATATATATCTATAATAATATTCAAAATAATAACAAAAAACTGCAAAATTTTGTTAAAACTACCAAGTCGGTGGCAGCAACCCAACAATGGGTTGTTCGATTCGTCTGATAATTTCAGGGCCGATAGATCTTGACCAATTAAACAATTTTACCCCATGTCACATTTGCTCTAAAAGATTTAGTTTTTGAGCTATTATAATAAGCCAAAAACTGCATTTGACCCTTATGTTCTATTTTTAGCCATGGCGGCCATGTTTGTCAATGGATACAAACTTCAGATACAAGTTATGAACAAGATACCCTAATGATCATTTAGTTAAAGTTTGAAGGTATTTGGCCCAGTAGTTTCAGAGGAGAAGATTTTTAAATAATGTTAGCAAACTTGAACAAATTGTGTAAAATTGTCTTTAAAGGGCAATAACTCCTTAAGGGATCAATTGACAATTATGGTCATATTAACTTTTTTGTAGATCTTACTTTGCTGAACATTATTGCTGCTTACAGTTTATATATATCTATAATAATATTCAAAATAATAACAAAAGAATGCAAAATTTTGTTAAAACTACCAATTCGGTGGCAGCAACCCAACAATGGGTTGTTGGATTTGTCTGAAAATTTCAGGGCCAATAGATCTTGACCAATTAAACAATTTTACCACATGTCACATTTGCTCTAAATGATTTAGTTTTTGAGATATAAGCCAAAAACTGCATTTGACCCTTATGTTCTATTTTTAGCCATGGCGGCCATGTTTGTCGATGGATACAAATTTCGGATATAATTTATAAACAAGATACCCTAAGGAACATTTAGCTAAAGTTTGAAGGTAATTGGCCCAGTAGTTTCAGAGGAGAAGATTTTTAAATTTTAGCAAACTTGATGAACAAATTGTGTAAAATTGTCTTTAAAGGGCAATAACTCCTTAAGGGGTCAATTGACAATTATGGTCATATTAACTTTTTTGTAGATCTTACTTTGGTGAACATTATTGCTGCTTACAGTTTATATATATCTATAATAATATTCAAAATAGTAACAAAAAACTGCAAAATTTTGTTAAAACTACCAATTCGGTGGCAGCAACCCAACAATGGGTTGTTCGATTCGTCTGAAAATTTCAGAGCTGATAGATCTTGGCCAATTGAACAATTTACCACATGTCAGATTTGCTCTACTAGCTTTAGTTTTTGAGATGTAAGCCAAAAACTGCATTTGACCCCTATGTTCTATTTTTAGCCATGGCGGCCATGTTTGTCGATGGATCAAAACTTCGGATACAATTTATAAACTAGATACCCTAAGGAACATTTAGTTAAAGTTTGAAGGTATTTGGCCCAGTAGTTTCAGAGGAGAAGATTTTTTAAATAGTTTACGACGACAGACGACGACGACAGACGACGGACGACGACGGACGCCAAGTGATGGCATAAGCTCACATGGGGCCCTTTGGGCCCCGGTGAGCTAATAATATACAGCAACAAACACAGAACCCGGAATTACAGGCTCCTGAATTGAGACAGACCCATCATATAAATTTAAAATATCAGAATGAGTGATAATAAGCGATAGTTGATTCAATTTAAAAAAAAATGCTTAGAAATTGTCTAATTGTAAACTATTAACGCATCTTTATTATGTTCAGGTCCTCTTTGGTCAAGTAGCTGTTAATGTTTTGAGGTATTTATACGTCACTGGCTTTCAAATGTTTAGGTTTTAGCGTTCCTGGTGAAGAACAATCCAGAAAAGCTCTAGATCATCGAACGCACGAAATTTATCATTTTTTTTTCTTCAATTTGACATAAGTTCAGTACTTACAGATTTAAACCATGTTCATTCATATGTACTTGGAAAGTAGCACCACCCCCTCACTAATAATATTCTTGTAACTTTAATTTGCAGGTATTTGAACTGAATATGATTGATTGATTGTTTAACGTTCACTGGTAAATACTATGAATGAATGAGTGCTCTTGGGATGCATTATTTTCTTTAATTCACCTCGGATTTGCACTCTTATAACATGCATGTATTTCAAGTGTATTTGTCAATTCCGTACTTAGCCCTGTATTCGCCTTTTCAGAATCGAATGCATTCTGGGTAATATTAATGACGTGACGTTGTTTTCATTTCAGGGTACGTTCAATGAGACCACCCATGGTTTTTTTCAGATTCTGAAACGTCGAATTGAAGATTCATTTGTGTATTTTTTTTCCCTTGTGAGGGACATACATTTTCATTCCCAATGCAGAGCTAGCGAAAGAGCAAATCATGCAATACGTGTGTAATCTTTAAAATTTTCTGATATTTAATTACATTTCATCTGTTTTAAAATTGTTGAAGCTAAACATTTTTGGTATCAATATTTTTCATTAAAAAAATTCAACACCTATATCAGTCATAATCACTTCCAACTGTTCATGCTTTGCATGGGCAGCAGCCAATTATGTCCTGCTAAGAACCAGTCTACAATTGACAAAGGGAAACAACTTGTGTTAAAAGTGTGTAACAACAGCAACAAACCGGTAATTTACAATTAGACTATTTACCTGCTATAAAAGGGCTTAATAGTTTGTTCTTAAGTAGTGCTGTTGCACCACTGTCCCATGTTAGAGCTAGGGTTGGGCGACCACAAACCTGTTTAACATCATTTATGTGCCTGTTCTTAGGAGCCTGCAATTCAGAGGTTTTCGTTTGTTGCTGTATATCATTTTTGTTTTTCGTTTATTGTTTTGTACATACATCGGGCCGTTATTTTTAAGATTGGGGCCTTTTATAGCTTACTATGTAGTATATGGGTTTTGCTCAATGTTTGTAGTATATGGGTTTTGCTCAATGTTTGTAGTATATGGGTTTTGCTCAATGTTTGTAGTATATGGGTTTTGCTCAATGTTTGTAGTATATGGGTTTTGCTCAATGTTTGTAGTATATGGGTTTTGCTCAATGTTTGTAGTACAGGGTTTTGCTCAATGTTTGTAGTATATGGGTTTTGCTCAATGTTTGTAGTATATGGGTTTTGCTCAATGTTTGTAGTATATGGGTTTTGCTCAATGTTTGTAGTACAGGGTTTTGCTCAATGTTTGTAGTATATGGGTTTTGCTCAATGTTTGTAGTATATGGGTTTTGCTCAATGTTTGTAGTATATGGGTTTTGCTCATTGTTGAAGACCGTACGATGACCTATAGTTGCTTACTTGTACCTCATTTGGTGTCTGATGGAGAGTTGTTTCATTGGCAATCATACCACATCTTATTTTTATATTATAGTTTTGGATTTAGAACTTGACATAGTGTATAGGCATCTGTCTATTCAATTGTAATTGCTCTTTATGTGTCTTCTGGTTATCGTTTTGTCGTTGGGTTGCTGTTTCATTGACATATATACCACATCTCCATTTATTCATATTAAATTGCCTATTGAATGCACCATTTGTGTGGAAAACACTCAGTTTTCCTTAGATTTGGTAACGCCCACGTAAGCGGTATAGGGAAATATTTGGAACAAAGAGATGTTCCAATTGTACGGTTGATTAAAGATCTGAGAAGTTTAATTCTACGTTGAATACCAATAAAAGATATGCTTTCGGTGTATTTACGAGAATTGGATATGAAGACATTCAAATTTATGTTGAATCGATATTTGTTTGTAAGAATTTGATCGAAGATAAAATATTCCATAAAATCACTAATCATTTTGATATTCTTAACAATCCCAAGCAGCCTTTAAATAAAACAGTTTCGTAAGTGTTGTCCATGAACATGGCATTTGGCATAATATCTGTAACTGTTCACTGTGCTTAGGGTCGGATCTAAGCCCTCGCCATTTTGGATCACGTGCTAACATGTGTCGAACACTCACTAGCATTTCCTCAAAGTGTTGATTCTCGTATTTTTCTTTTAGAACTTTTACCAATGCGTCGATGAACCAAGATCCGGTTTCTTTATGTCTGAATGATAAATGCCCTGCAATTTAATGTATTAAGATTTTAATGTCGACAGGAAACTCATAAATTGTGTATACTTTTTGAACCCTAAGAAGAGGAGTCAGTATTGAAAGTTGTATGGAAGACAATGGTAAGAGGGTTTTTTTTTTTTTTTTTTTTTTGGGGGGGGGGGGTCTTTAAGAGACTGCCGAGTATTATGATGGAGCATGCATACAGATCTGTATGGTGTTTCTAGCCATATGTCAAAACCCCAATTTTAACCAACGGACGTTCAAATTATCAAGACGGAATATTATATCAAAATTTAATTTCTTTTATGTTATAAATTTAATTTTCCCATAGATTTCACAATTCAAATTTTGATTTTTTTTTTCCCGAGGAGAGAAGGATAGCAGATGTTGAACCTGGGTTGATAAAATATATATAAAAAATCGATTGCGAAAAATAAAACTTTTTTTTAAATTTTACAATGAAAATGATTGACCATAAGAAGAATCTAGTTACTATCAATAACTTTACTCTCAGCGGTATTTTTAAACGAGGCTTACCATTATTCCAAAGATTTCTAAATTATAAAAAAAGCTTTGGTCTTCATAGTGTTAACAGTAATGAGAGTTTGGATGGGAATTTATTCATTTCTGTCGCATTCTTTTTTTGCCATGTTTCTCTATCCTATATTCTTTTGTCCATGATTATTCTTTATATTTTAGCACCACATTATTCTCTATTCTTTATTTTAAAGCCTATTTTTCTTAATCATTATTTATTTCGTCCGCTATTCTCTATTCTGTAAACCCCATCCAGACCCTCAGTCATGCATAATATCTTTAAAATTTGAGCAAAATACCAACCATCCGTTGTTGCATATGCTAAAAGAATATCGGCATCCTTTGGCACAGATACGCTGCCAATAAAGTCGTCTTCAAGTTCCATTTCATCGTCTGCTACGTGCTCGGCTAATGGTTGAACTGGTTTTCCTCTGCAGGTTTGCACAATGAATATTTTCGGCTTATCTACACATTGAATAATTGCAGTGAGTAATTGAATGATTGCGGTGCATAATTGAATAAATGCGGTGCACAATTGAATAAATGCGGTACATGATTGAATAAATGCAGTACATAATGGAATAATTGCGGTGCATAGTTGAATAACTGAGGTGGATTGTTGAATAATTGTGGTACATAATTGAATAATTAAGGTACATAATTGAACAATTAAGGTAAATTTGTGTTTACGTGTTTACTATCGGACAAGCAAAACATCAGATTTTTATATGTAATTCTCGTCAAACAAAATGACTGTATCGGGTTTGGGGAGGATTGAGCGCTTATAAACATGTTTAACTCCGCCACATTTTTATGTGCCTGCCCAAATCTAGGAGCCTGTAATTCAGTGGACTGGTTGTCGTTGGTTTATGTCTATCATATTTGTTTTTCGTAAATTGAATAGTTATAAACTAGGCCGTTACTTTTTTCGTTTGAATTGTTTCACATTTTTCTTGCCGGGGCCTTTTATAGCTGACTATACGGTATCGGTTTTTCTCATGGTTGAAAGCCGTACGGTGACATATACTTGCTTATTACTTCCAAGTCATTTGAACTCTGGTGAAAAGTTGTCTCATTGGCAATCATTCCACATCTTATTTTATACCACAGAAAACCCTATTTAAAGACTGAAACCATTCATCCACCACTTATAGAAGTTGTTACCCTTAAACGGCGATTTTCAACACAGTGTAGCAGTTTGGCATTCTATTTTTAACTATTATCATGATGATATTATCAGTAAAGCAAGATCTTAAAATCAAAATTATCTTAACCATTTATCGACTCCTTAAATGGTTACTGTCCTCAAATTACTATTCTATTAAATATGACGTTCTTCTTTCGCTTTGGAAACAAAGCCATGTTCTAATTGCAATATAGAACATGGCCTGCACGAGAGTGACATCACAATTGAAATTGCAACGTCAGTTGTATTTTGAACAACGCCGGAGAATATAATGGACATTTGTGTTGGTGTTGCTCGCTAGGTAATTAAATAAAATCATTCTAAAAGTAAGTCTACATGTATCTGTTCATTTTTTTTTTTATCTTGAACCGGTTGATTTTCTACATCGTTTTGGCTTCATAAAATCAAAATGGCTGCCTTTCGAACGTGTATAACTTCGAAGTACAACAGTTCTAAATTTTCCTATTAGAATCGAAATAATTCTATCATGCCATGCTCTATGCTCATTTTAACATGGGTAGGCATTATATTTGTCAACATTTTACACCTCGCTAACGCTCAGTATACAGAATATTGAGATAATGACAAATAAAATGCCTACCCGTGTTAAAATGAGCATAAAGCATGGCACGAAAGAATTATTTCTTAATTTTCGACAGGTCTTTGGAAGTTATCACATAGACTTTAAACAGCAAAAAATATCAGCAATACAATATCAATAGAAATAAATGGTTAGATAAAAATTGGTCTGATTTTTATGTTACTAAGAGATAGGCGATTCGAGCTCCTTGGTTTTGATTGATGTTTGCTTAATTCGTCCAGTGGCAAATATTTCATTCAGGTCCAGAACGAGGCGAGCTCCTTGAAACCTTTATTTCTTGTAAAAAATGGTGATTATACTTCGTTTAAAAACCAATTTACACTTACCAATGAAATCTTTGAATTCTGTATTTTTAAATTTGGCTGTTATGTCGTCCATCTTGATTTTTTGTCCATCGATTGTTTTGATACCGTCCTATAAATGTATGTGAACGCGTTAATGGTCCTGACAAGTGAAAAACAGGTAAAGAGATAGGACCCATTTGACATGAATTTATTTCACTCTACACCCTAGGGTCATTTGTATATTGCTTTTAAATCTGTACTTTTTCTCATTGTTGAAGGCCGTACGGTTGCCTATGTTTCATTGGCAATCATATCCCCATCTCCTTATATTCATATTGAAGCTGCTAAGTAAAACAACATTATGGAGTATTTCTAAACAAGTAAAATATTATAAATAATATAAGGGTCTGGGTGGGTTTACAGAAAAGAGAAGAATGGGCCGAAACATAAAAAAAAAGAGAGAAAATATAAACCAAAAAATTAAAGAATAAAAATAATAGGGTGCTTAAATACAAAGAATGGAGAATAATAAACAAACAAATAAAATAGAGAAAATGGCCTTAAAATTTAAATAATACAGATATGGAGACACCCACATCTAGACCCTCTTACATGACCCCAAACTACAACTTGATAGATTTTGTATACATTAAGAGTAGTCTCTTTAATTTCAAATTTCCATTACGTTTCAACAACTTGCTTATTGGCCGTTAGTAAAAAAAAATACTTTGGAAATTAGTTAATTCTCTTTCAAATATCTTTTTAAGATTAACAAAAGTATTTAAAAAAAAATCCCACTGACTCGGATTGTTTAGAATTTTACTTTAATTTTCTTGTACCTTAAATGATGTGTACAGAAATAAATGCACATTTTTACTATGCATATGAATCTGATTTGAAGCATCTGATACATCAATATTTTTCACACAGGAACATTTTTTTCTATTGAAACTTATTTATATATATCACTTTTATTTCGGAAAAAAGTTTTCTTCACATTTCGTTTAAAAATTCCACTGAAAATCTATTTCGAATTACAAATAAGCTGTACATATAAACCGAAAATTTAAAAGTCTCTTTTTTACTTTGTGTTCCTGATTTGAAGGATATAGATAGAAGAAGAAGCAAGTATGGTTTTAACTATTGTAATTAATTTGAACAATAATTTAAGACTAGCTGAACACGTTTCAATTGTCCATATTTTAATAACCGTGGTATCATCGAGCGAGCGATCGAAGAATACAAAATCTTTGACTGGCAATAAGACCTTATTAAATTTTAAATGAGATAAAGCAGTAACGTAACTAGATGCTCTAAAGAGCCTGTGTCGCTCACCTTGGTCTATGTGCATATTCAACAAATGACACTCTCCAACATTGTAGGCGAGAATAGAATTCATGACAAAAAACACTTGTTTTGTTGATCTTGTACTGCTGATCATTTAGTCCGTGTAGTTTCTCTCTATTTTCTTTACTTTTTGCTCAAAACACAAAAGAGGGCAAAAAAAAAGTCTAAGTTAAGGGCAATCACTCCTATAAAGAGCGACAGTCTACTGACTGTATCGGCAAAATTTGACTTGTTAGTAGATCTTGTCTTGCTAATAAATTTTACTTATTTAAGTTTCTGTCTATCTATTATAATTTTTATCATATAAGGCACAACACAAAAAAATGGTAAAAATCGTCATTAAAGGGCAATAACTCCAATAAGGAGTCATCAGACGATTTCCACAATATTTGTATTAATTGTAGATCTTGTCTTGCTGATCATTTTTGCCTATTTAAGTTTCTATCTATCTATTATGATATTTAAGATATAAGGCAAAACGCAAAAATTTGGTAAAAATTCGTCATCAAAGGGCCATAACTCTAATAAGGAGTCGAATGACGATTTCAACTATTAGACTTATTTGTAGAACATGTGTAGCTGATCAATTTTGCAATGTAAAGTTTCTCTCTATCTATCTTATAATTTTCAAGATAAAACTAAAAGGCAAAAGTAAAAAAAATGGTAAAATTTGTCATTTAAGGGCAGTAACTCCATTAAGAAATCGTCTGACAGTTTTGATTTAAATGGACAATAGGTAGAGCTCAACATTCTGAACATTGCTGCCCTTGTCAGATTTTCTTTATTGATAACGGTTTTCAAGATAATAGACAAAACTTGCATTTTACCCCTATGTTCTATTTTTAGCCATGTCCGCCATCTTGGTTCGCGGGCGCAATCATCGGACACATTTTTTTAAAACTAGATACCTCAATAATGATTGTGGCCAAGTTAGGTTAAATTTGGCCCAGTAGTTTCAGACGAGAGGATTTTTGTAAAATTTATCAGACGACAACGACGACGGATGACGGACGCCAAGTGATGAGAAAAGCTCACTTGGCCCTTTAGGCAAGTTGAGCTAAAAATCAGATAATGAATTTTCAATTGCATTTTAAACAAGGTGTAAAATTTGTCATTTTACTAACCTCTTCGCCATGACTCATGACAACACAGATAAAACAGTAGTACTTCTTAGCCTCACTTCCAGTCAGTGTTCGTTTTGTTTCGGTAAGAGTCTGTAGTAACTCATCTTTCGTAACGTCCTCCTTCACATTGACAGTGAAGCCAAGCTGTCCTCTGAAGAAACTTTCTAGTGCTATTATGTCGTTCTCACTGCCTGTAAAATTCAACTATTAGTTATCTCCCCTCAATTGTTTTTTTTTCATCATGTATATTATAGGATAATTTTGGCAATAGGCAATCATTTGGAGAATCCGCTCTTCTGCCTTAAGCAGAAAAGGCCGATTTCTTGACATCTTGCTCCTCGACAGGTTATCATTCATCGTTTATCCTTGCATGTTCATTTAGAATCAAAATGTAAAATCTTGAAAATTAACGTGAGACAAACTGATTATACTGAAACAAATTAATCCACTATGTCACAAGTTGACATAATGATTACATTATTATTTATTATCTCATTTTGTCATGACAATTAAAGGGAAAATAAAAGAGATCTGATCAAGATATTAGGGTCTGGATAGAGAGTCCTTCATTTCTGTATTCTTTAATTTGTCTTGCACTTTTTCTCTGTTCTTTCTTTGTTGCCCATTTTACTATGTTCTTCTTTTATTTTCATCCCTTTATTCTCTATGTTTTGCCTAAAAGTATTATTCTCTCTTCTCTAACGAGGTCTTACGGATTGCACAAATGCAGGGATCCTTACGATTTGGTATCTTTCACGACCAATTTAGTAGTTACGAGTTATTACGAAATACATCGATATTTGAACGACAAAATTCAACGATTTGTAAAGAGTTGTCACGGATAACTACAAACAACTTACGGGCAGTTTTCGAGCTTTCTATGGATTGGTGTATATTACAGAATGTAACTATTCATCGAAGCTTTTACGTGTTAGTTACCACCTGTTTACGTGTTGTTACGAATAGTAATGTAACCACACGTTAATTGCTCGTATTAAGTAGCAACAATCCGTAAGATCAGCGTAACACGACCCGAATGAAATCGTAAACACGTAGGCATTCGTAATTATCCGTAAATAATCCGTAAACAAATTGTAAACTAACCGTAACAAATCGTACCCCAAAATTGTTACGAGTCACTTATGGATTCTTGCGAGCAGTTTACGGATTGTTACGTGCTGTTTCGAGCAGTTTGCTTTATACTAAAGGATTGTTACTTGCTGTTTCGAGCAGTTCGCGATGCTTATACAGATTGTTACGAGTCATTTTCGGAAAAATTTAACCTGTGGACAATCGTTTGAAGATTTTTGACGTGTAATAATTTGCATCTCCTTTTACGAATCATTAAGAGTGTCTGCGAGTTGTGAAGAGTTATTTACAGATACCAGCGAGTTATTTACAGATGCTTGCAATTGACTACGAGTTGGCGATCAGTGTATGTGAAGAGGGCATAATGTTTTGATACTTTAGTGAGGTTTATCTAGAGTATGAAATAAAAGATAGTGTTTTACAAAAAATACAATAAGTAATACTTTTATCCAATTTATCAATTTCAAAGATTAAATACCATTGCACCCTCGAAATGAATCAACATAAAATACTTGTTTCCTTTTGGAATTTTTAAGCTTCCTATAAAAAGAGATCACTCCGGTTTTTTTTTAATGGTTCGTGTTTCCATTCTTTTGTTTTTAGTGTTTTGTCAACTATATTGTTTGTATTTGAGTCGGTTGTTTTTATCTTCCATGTTTGTGTTAAGTCTTCATTCGATTTATGAGTTTTGAGAATCCCCTTGGTATCTTCCGCCTTTATTTTTATAACATTTGCTTTCGATAGTTAGTGTCCATAACCAAATTCAACAATTATGTGTTCTATTACTAACAGCTAAATATTTAATTTAATTACCTGACCGCTTCTTTGAAATGACATTTAAAATCAACATGTATCCTTTTTGTCCCCGTTCCTTTACATACCTATTGTCATCTGGTATTTCTGTAATAACGCAAAAAACACCAGATTGATACTACATATAACATTATGATTAGTCTTATTGTGAATTAATGATTTGATTCTGTTATTTCACATTTTTTGCACAAGTTGTTTCCTTTTGCTAATTGTAGACTGGTTCCGATCCGAACAAAATGGGCTGCTGTCCATGTAAATCATGATAAGTTGAAAGTTATATATTAAATGCGTATTTATCAATTGTTCATGAAAAAATATCTTTATATCAAAGGTAAAAGATTTGTAAAAACTTAAAGATTGCACACAAGCAGATTACGCACAGATGAAAGTGCTGTGTCCACTAGCTCTTCATTGTCAATGGAAATGTATGTACTTCGTAACGGAAAAAAAACGTACAAATGGATCTCTTTAATGATCTTTAATAACAGTGTTGATTTACGGGAATCTGTAGGCGTAGAGGAATCTGCCGAGGTTTTCCGATTGCTAATTCACGATCAGTGATTAACATGAATCGTGACATTACAGCATTATCCTAATCATCTAAATGATATACATGTATATGCAATTAAAAATATCAACACAACCTTACCTTCTTCCAATTTTCTTTTTTTCTCTAGTTTTCCGTCGACTGAATATTGACCTTAAAAAAGAAACAAATGAAGCAGTACGTACAAAACATAACTTTAAATTCGTTACTTTCATCTTCTCATAGATAAGAAGCAAGCAAATTTTGATATATTTTGATGACATAGATCATCAAATTACATCAGAACTGAAGAAAACCAAATGTTGAGAGATTTCAGAAAATATTTAGTTTTTATCCCCAAAAATGTAGTTAGCTTTTAAGCAAAACGGATTCATGAGACAGAGGATGATACATGCATACAGTACATAAGAAAATTATTTTATATGTTCACTCCATCAAATGATCAATATGTACTTGCCTATAAAAAAAGGAAAAAAGGAAAGAAGAATACACAAAATGACATACCTTCATTATTATAACATGTACTTCCGGACGCAGAAGTTCCTTGTCCTCTTGACAATATTTTCTGAATTTCTCGTTCCGTTGGTTCAATCAAATCAGCCACAACACGAACGTCATAATCTCTGATTACACTTTTCAAGTATTTGTAGTTGCCGGGACCAATTGTACCATTTCTTTCCAAGGCCTCTAAAATGTCCATTATATTCTTGGCTTCCTTACTTGCCTTCGGGCTCAATTTTGCTTTTAGCCTGTTGACAAACTGTTCATATCTATCTGATTCAAACAGACCAAACTGCTCATTTAGATCTGATGTTAATTTAGCATGTAAATCCTTCGCCTCTTCTTTCGCGTCCATTCCTACTCAAGATGCACTACATGGACCAAAACACAACACTTGATATATGTTTTTCTGCGTGGCTATAAGTGCGTCTATTTTAAAACGATGAACTTATTTATTCATGTGTAAACTCAATACTGCGTCATTGATTTTTATTGTGTACACAGACTTTTAATTTAAAAAAATGATATTATCGTATTTTAAAATCTTACATTGGAAGACTATATGTGTATAATTTATACGGAAGCCATTTAGGACCTTTAAAAAATATAATTCAAATTCGAGATCACGAATGCAAAAAGAAGATCACGGTCGGATCTAAATTATATAATTCATCATCACGGATTAAATTCATGATAATGAATCTGTGAAATAAGTTATCACAGATTTTTGTAATTCGTAATCACGGATTAAAATCGTTATCATAGATTTTCGGATTAAGACTATAGTAACGAATTCTAAAATGAAATTATGAAAATATATGATAACGAATTATAAACAGTCTCCGGGACAAGTTTGCACTTCCGCTGAGTGCAAAAGTTGTCACCTTAATTTTTGGAGTTAAGTCAAAATGAAGTTGATAACTTGGTTGGTATTGGTTCCCTGATATTTGTCCTAAAAAATTTTGGCTCTAGCACCACTGTTGAAAAAGTTATGCCCCTTTTTTCAACAATTTCCTCAGAGGAAAAGTAGTTTTCCTCAAGGGAAATCAAATTTCCCTGAAGGAAAAAGATTTTTCCTTAAGGGAAATTGTATTTTCCTCAAGGGAAAAAGATTTCCCTTAGGGAATTTGCTGCATTAATATTTCCTTTGAGGAAATTCTATTTCCTGTGAGGAAATACTTTTTCCTGTGAGGAAATTTGCGGCTTCAAATTTTCCTTTGAGGAAATACTTTTTCCTGTGAGGAAATTTTTGACAAACACTTTTCCTTGAGGGAAAATTCAAGACCACAAATTTCCTCTAAGGAAAACATTGTTCTCCAAATTTCCTCTATGGAAATTTCTCTTATTCAATTTTCCTCTATGAAAATTTCATAACAGTAAAAACAGTATGAATATAATTTTTCCTGAGACTGAATAATTGATACAAAAGATAATTAAAACTTTAATAAAATGTTCACTGATGAGTAACATGACATACAAAAACAATAGGCTAGCTGTTTGAGACAATACAATAATAAGAAAAACGCTATGAATATCATACTATTTGTGATGTTATTAATATTGTGCTCATATTTGCGGATTAAATAAAATAACCACTTTTCATGTTAATTTAACTTTTCTGCTGCGTACAATTATTCAATCCCCTACAAAACAGTTCAGTGCATAAATAATTCCATCCACCAGACATCTTCCTTCAATTGGTAGAGAATACATTTTTGCAATTTGTTCTTCAAACATCTTCCTCTATATAGTTGATATGACAGAGCTATGTACATGAATGGATAAAGCAGGTGTTTATTTCGACAAAAAAATACTATTTTTTCTACATTTCTCCCTAATCCTTCAGTGTAGGTTGTTGCAATTACACAATTGTGTTCTTGTGCATCTATGATTGTACTCCATTTTGTTTACAGCCATTTTGTAGAAATTTCCTATTTTCTTTTTCCAGGTAAGCACACATTTCATTTCACATTAATCCAATTAGCACACAATGTAGAAAAGTATTAACCTTAAGTTTCCTCTTCTGTATTGATCTGTTGATGATCATGAAAACCAAGAAGTCTCTGCACCTATAAATACACAAAATATAAATTGAGAAAAAAACAGCAATATGAAATAAGCTTATTTTATCATGTTTAATATGAACATTTTGAAAAACTTAAATTTGATATTCCTACTAATCATGATTATGAGTTCTGTTATTTCAGTGCTTTGTCTCAACGACTTAATATCAGTCGTTTTAGTGCCTTGCAGTGATAATGAGTTGAGCCACTTGCAACAGTTTTTACAGTTTGTTCATATGTTGTGCTATTTGAACCACTGTCCTAGATTATGGTTAGGTGGAGTGCTCACAGACATGATTTTTTTATGACTTGTTATTGGCTTTGAACTAATTTGGATTGTTTAAATCTTTTCATGTTGGGGTCTTTATTGGCTGACTTATAAGGTATGGGTTTTCTCATTATCGAAGGCCGTCATTGGTCTTTAATTGCTCGCATCCACTTCATTGAACTCTGGTGGATAGATAACTCATTTACCATACCACATCTTCTTATTTTTATAATAGTCATCATTCAAGGGCAATCACTTTTATTATATAGAAGTGGTCTTACCATTTAGGCCTTGTTGTCTTCTGTTTATCTTGTTTTGCCGATCATTTCTACTGTACAGTTGTAATTGTTTATATTTTTCTTTATCTTCTATATTTCTTGCCCTAAACTTAAAAAAGGTAAAAACTATAATTTAATGACAGTCACTATAACTATTATTATACATCAGTATGTGTTTTTCTATATACCATGATATAAAAAAGAATGAAATATTTGTGCTATTTCATTTCACAGACTATTTGCCAGTCAACAGTTTCAAAGACATAACCACGGTCAATAGTTTAACAAACAAACATTCCCGTACTTTTTCATCATGTTCATACTAATTTTTCAATGGACAACAATGACGTGATTAACTATTCTTCTATGATTTGTGTGCTTGACAACATTAAACTCTGAAATATTGTTAACAGTATAATCTGTATGTGTCTGTCGTCAAAATTTCAAATTAATATATATTACTTACAGAAGCAATTAAAACAAGAGGCTCACAAAATGAATGTGGTCTAAGAACTTTAAAATTTCTAATTTACCTATTCAAACCGCATCATTATTATTTGCTTTTATATATAAATCAGAAATAACCAATTAATATGGAAAATTTTAAAGAAAACAAAAGGAAAAAAAATCCCCCCAAATTTTTTGAACCCCCTAATGATTCATTACCCCAAACTCAATCCCAGCCTTTCCTATGTGGTACGGTACCTTGCAGTACAATTTCAGAGAGATCCATACACTTGAACACAAAGTTATTGTCTGGAAACAAGAAAAATGCTTGTTTTTTTGCCCCTTTTTGGCCCCAAATTCCTAAACGTTTAGGGCAATTACCCCCAAACTCAATCCCAGCTTTTCCCCTGTGATATGGAACCTTGTAGTACAATTTCATAAAGATCCATACACTTACACACAAGTTATTGTCCTAAAACTAGCAAAATGCTTGTTTTTTGCCCCTTTTTTGCCCCTTATTCCTTAAATTTTGAGGCAATTACCCCCAAAATCAATCCCAGCCTTCCCTTTGTGGTATGGTACCTTGCAGTACAATTTCCGACATTAATCAACCAAAAACTCAATATTTTACAGTAGGGAATGAATATCTCCAGATGAAGATTACATTATGACGTATGTTTTTTTTTTAAAGACCAACAAATCGATTTTTATCACCAAATTTGTCTTTGCTGAGATTAACACTAAAAAAGTATAACAAAACGTAACGATTGAAAACTCACAGTTCAGTTTTTAAGATATTTTTTTCTTTGGAAACTTACAGACTAATTTTCAAAAAGTTTTTTTCTTGAACCATTATTTATGAAAACGAATTGTAAACAAAAGTTATTCTCAAATATTAATAATGATCAATGATTGTAAAGAAAAAAATCCATCATAGTAGTTTGTTAATTTACTGGCTCCATGGTGTTAAACATGTCACCTTTCTTATAATAATTCTTCAAATAACTGATTAAAAATATGAAGCCTTTACTGTAAAATAAATCATTCTAATAAAAATAAATTCATCCAGATTTTTCTCTCATAACCTTTTAACAGTTATTGTAAACTAATTTATTCGAACTATAATAGTCCTATGACTTGCTGTCCGTTTACCAATATTTATACTTAATAAAATGTTTTCATATTCATTGATCATTAACTTCATGTTTTGCGAATACTTATAAGGGGGTAATTATTATAGTCAGTAATAACTAACAATTTATCTAAAGAAAACGAGATGCTATATTCAAATTCTGAGATATGAATCTAGTTCTTTAAAAAAAATTCTCCACAACAAAAATTCTACACTTCCATTTATCTGGGTCTTTTTGTCTCCGCTTCGAAGCCGCCATCCCGTACCAGACATATTTATTCGTTTGGCAATATACAATCATGTAAGCAATATACAACAGGCAGTAGATATGAATTTGTAAATTGTTATTTTGGATTTTACCTGATTAGGACGTGTCTCGTTGAATTTTCTAATAAACTTACACACACATAATCTGACGTTTAATCGTAATGTTATGAGATCTATAAGAACATAGAGCTACTGTATAGGCCTAGTTGCATGCAAGTCTTTACAAATTATATATTTTGGTATGCTATAGTTGTTTTTATAGACTATTTGTCATTTGGTCGTTTTTTTTTGTTGTTGTTTTTTTAGTTTTTGACATGGCGTTGACTCGAGTTTGATATATTATGCATCTTTTGTGCTGTATTTTAACAATTACTTACAAGCATGCTGCATGTTTACACATTCATCACTCACTATACCGCATCTAAATATAGCTTTATTGTAACAAAAATAAGGAGATGTAGTATGATTGGTGATGAGACAACTATCAACCAGAATTTAAAATACCTTATATAAGCAATTGTGACTTACTTTCTTTACTCAGAGTGATCGTAAATTAATCAGATAAGCTGGAGGAGGGGTGGGGGCTTCATATAGACCCATATTAAATGAAAAGAAATTAGCATTAGCTTTTTGTGATAAATATATAATAAACTCACAGTAACAGAAATAGCTCTTGAAAGCTCTGTCAGATCCCGGCACTTTTAACTGTTTTTTGACACGTGCTAAAAAATGCAGCACCTGGTTACAAGGGCTTATTTGACAAATTATCATCTTTCGTAATTTAAGTTATAAAATCTAAATTTTAAGTGATCTAAAATGTTCATGACTAACGAGTATTTTCACTTGTACGATTTTTCTGTGAAATGAGTCTAAGAGTATATACATGTATATCAGGATACTGACTGCATAGTAAAATATTTATGTACCATTAGTTGCGACTCATTTTGGTCTTTTAAGTAAGTTTCCTTCCCCTGCATTACTTGATCGCTTTTGTAAAAAATAAACAGCACAACAACAACAGCACTCGACGTCAGTATTGTACCAAAAAATGAAAAAAATATTCAAAAAGAAGGCTCATAAAATTCAAATATTGGTAAGCACACACACTAACTTGTCACTACAGACATGATCTTTGTGTTAATGCGCCAAACTCGTTTCGTCCACAGGACGATGTCGATGGTGGGGAAAACCTAGTCCAAATAATTATGACGTCTTGCAAGGCTATTGAGGCGTCCAAGAAAAAAAAAATAGCCTTGCCAGACGTCATAATTTATTTGGACTAGGGAAAAACCAACAAATCATTAGTTCCCCAAATGAGTATCCTAGTTTAAAGTTTTTTTTTAATATATACACGATTTAGCTATTTCATATTGGAATGGCACATATTCATGAAAAATCAACAAATGATCTGAAAGTCGGAAAGATGAATATAGTCCTCTGACTTCACAAACTTGGAAACAGTTGTGATGTTGCTTCGATGAGCTATAGATAACCGTACGACCATCAACAATGAGCAAAATTCACACCATATAGACATAGGTGCTTGAGGATAGGAGTCGAGATTCACGTTGAGTGGATAGTAAACATGCATATTAAGAGTAAAAATATGGTATATTAGTATGTATATGGTACAAATAAGTGATATATATTGAAAAATCTAAGATTTATGATAATAAGGGGGAGGGACTGGGGGGGGCTCAAAACAGGATCCTGTCCTCAAAGCACCTATGCATATAGAAAGCTGTAAATATAATAAAAGGCCTCGAAATGACAAATGTAAAACAAATCAACAAGAAGCCTAACATTTATAATTGAATTTAAAATAGAATTGAAAATAGAAATGGGGAATGTGTCAGAATGACAACAACCTGCCCAAAGAGCAGATAACAGTCGGTCACCAATGTGACTTCAATGCAGCGAGAAAATCCCACAGCCTGAGGCGTGCTTCAGCTGGATCCTTAACAAAAATGTATACTAGTTCAGTGATAATGGACGTCATCCTAAACTCCGAAATATATAAAAGAAACTAAAATTAAAAATCATACAAAACCATTGAAAACTGACAAATGCCACATATAGGCTCCTGACTTGGGACAGGAGCAAAAATATGGTGGGGTTAAAAGCCTATATACTGTAAATTTCAGAAATTGTTGCATGCATTTATTAATATTGCCAATTAACATAATCATGATAATTTCCCTTTCAATTTAAAAAAAAAATTCTGATTTAAGTTTTTATTGTTTATTGAGACTTTGGATAGTCTCAAGAATGCTTTCACCAATTTTTATGAAACTTTGGTGAATTGATTTTATATATTGACATAAACTCCCTTTACATTTTTATGACCCATAGTCATGTGATAGTTGGTCAACCCTTGACCGTCTGTCCGTCTGTCCCAAAGTCATTGGTTTTTGTTCTCTAATTTAGTTTGCCTCAACCAAATGTTATAAAACTTTTACAAAAGCTTATTACCACAATACTCAGATCAAGTGTGAATTTTGGTGGTGTCAGTGTTACCGTTCTAGAGTTATGCCCCTTTACAAATGGAAAAATTGCTGAATTTTTGGTTTCCGGCTCTCTATCTTTAACTTTAGTTTGCCTAAACCAAATGTTATGAAACTTGCACACAATGCTTATTACCACAAAAAACAGTTTGAATTTTGGTGGTGTCACTTTTACTGACTCAGTCTGTTCTAGAGTTATGTCCTTTACAGATGGAAAAAATTATGAATTTTACGTTTCCGTCCTCTAAATTAAGTTTGCCTCAACCAAATTTTATTAAACTTTAACGCAATACTTTTTACCACAAAATCAGATCAAGTTATAATTTTAGTAGTATAAATTTTACCGTTCTTCAGTTATCTTCCTTTATAACTTTATATGATATGCAAGCCGGAGTATCATCCCCTATTTATTTTTATATAAGATGCAGAGTTATGGAATTTTAGTTGTTGGAAAATTGTTTAAAATTGTCCATTTTCACATTTTGGAAGGTTTTAGAATTGTATTTGTTCAAAAATCACGGCCTTAAACTTACAAAATGTATATACACTTGCAATATCCCTTAAAATGGAGCCAAATTATTTTCATGTTTTGTTTCAATGAATACCACTCTGCATGCTCTGTGTGCATGTCCTTTTTAAGCTCATCTGGCTCGAAAGGCCAAGTGAGCTTTTCTCATCACTTGGCGTCCGTCGTCGTCTGTTGCCGTTGTTAACTTTTTACATTTTGAACTTCTAGAGAACCACTGAATTCCTTATGAGGTGCTGACCAAGAGTTGTTACTTTGTTGCCGATCTATCATCCAAGATGGCCGTCAGCGGGGGACTTAGTTTAAGATAGGACCCTATAGGAAATACATACAAATGTCTTCTTTTAGAGAACCACTGAATGGAATGAAACCAAACATAGCATGAATGTTCCTTATGAGGTGTTGACCAAGTGTTGTTACTCTGTAGCTGATGCATCATCCAAGACGGCCGCCAGTGGAGTAGGACAATATTAAACCAAATATGGCCTCAATCATTATTAAAGTATCTGTTATGATTTTTATCATTTTTATATGATTTCAAAAACCCAAATAGAGTCAGGTGAGCGACACAGGCTCTTTAGAGCCTGTAGTTTTGTTTTTTGTAGGTGGGGGGGGTCTTAGTTGCGCAGTGCTCAGAGTTTTTCTATAATGTAGTTGATCATTAAAATTCATTTAAAGCATAAACCCAAGCTAAAAGGGCAACAAGCTTATCAAGCACTCATGGTGCAGCTTTTTATTAAACAGGTATTGATATATACATTAAACAGCAAAATAATTATTGATGCAAGATGTCATTAAATAATAATTTTTACTCTTTTTATGTGTAGGACACGAACTATAGAAGATGCAGAGAAATTATAAACAGCAGAAATGATAGGCAATTTAAAATTTGCAGAAGTCAACAAAACCTAAATGGTAAGTAAACTCATCATAGATACCAGGATTTAATATTGTATTTACGCCAGACGCGCGTTTCGTCTACAAAACACTCATCAGTGATGCTCGATAAGACTCATAAGGCCACTTTTATAAAAGTTATTGCCCTTGAAAGATGATTATCATGATTATTATAAAAATAAAAAGATGTGGCATATTAAATATGAAAACTATTGATCATGGCTCTAAGAAAGCAATTATAGGCCAGTGACGGCCTTCAATAATGAGAAAGTCCATACCCTATTGTCAAAGTAGCCACTATAAAAGGCCCTCAGACGAAAAATTGAAATAATCCCAACTGTAGAACTAATTGCCTAGTTTATAACAAAACAAATTAAAAAAAAATAAATATGACAGATATGAAACAACTACAACCACTAAATTTGAGTGTCGGAATAAACTACAGGCTCCGAACTTGGGACAGACACAATCAGAATATGGCAAGGTTATATAAAAATAAGAAGATGTGGCATGATTGCCAATAAGACAACTCTTCACCAGACAACAAATGACATACCGGTAGATTTCCTGCAAAAAAATAAACAGTCCGGACTAAGCAGGAAATTTATACCTTTCTCTTAATCGAAAAGACACAAAGATCTGTTAGTACTCACAGCTACTGACAGCTAGTTAAAAATCAATAAAAACTAATACATGTAATAAAAAAATCAGGTTTGTGAGCGCTCAACCCTACCTTAACCTTGGACAGTGGTTTAACAGCTCAACATATAAAGAACAAACTGTAAAAATAACCGTTGCAATTGCCTCAACTCGAAAGATTGATAAAATGCACAAAATCAACTACCGGGGTAATATAAAAACCCATAGACAAAAAGCACGGAATTAAGAGAACTCACAAGTCATGCAAGTAAGAAAGGAAATATTCTTAAAATGTTCATAAACATGACAAAATAAGCTTTTTTATTGCTGTTTCTCTCTCCATTTATAACATTTTATTTGTTTATTTTGTGTATTTATAGGTGATCAGACATCTTGGTTTTCATGATCAATAGGTCAATACTGAAGAGGAAACTGAAAGTTGATATCTATCTACATGGTGCGCTAATTGGATTAATGTGAAATGGAATGTGTGCTTTCCTGCAAAAAAGAAATAGGAAATTTCATCATAATCACATGATAATGGCTATAAACAAAATGGAGTTCTATCATAGATGCAGAAAAACACAATTGTATAAATGCAACAACATATTATATATATTCGTCGAAAGAAGGGAGAAATGAAGAAAAAAATAGTATTTTGTTGTTGAAAGGAACACCAGCTTTATCCACTCATTTACATCGCTCCCTCATATCAAATATACTGAAGAAGATCTTCGAAGAACAAATTGCAAAAATGTTTTCTCTAAGAATTGAAGGAAATTGTTTAGTGAATGGAATAATTTATGTTATGAACTTTTACGTAGTGAATTGAATAACTGTACACAGCAGCTGAAACAGAGGAAAATTAAAATTTACAAGAAAAGTGTTTATTTTATTATTTAATTTGCAAATATGAACGCATTCTTAAGAACTCCACAAATGGTATGACATTCAAATTGGTTGCTTATTAATGTATACAATTGAAACAATAACAAAGAAAACAGAATACTTTGCTACAAAAAATATTTTAAAAATCAAACTTAAAGTCATATAAAGTATGTACAATACCTTGACCTAAACAGTCAGACTCACTATATTGTTTTTGTATGTCATGATAATTTTGAGTCAAAATTTATTAAAGTTTAAATATCATTTGTATCATTTATTAAGTCTTGTAAACATTATGTTCATACTGTTTGTATAGTGAAGAAATTTTCAATGAGTAAAAATAGGGGAAAGCATTTCCTACAGGGAAAGTTGATGTACAGAAATTTCCTTAGAGGAAATTTGGAGAACAATGTTTTCCTTAGAGGATATTTGTGGTATTGAATTTTCCCTCAAGGAAAAGTGTTTGTTAAATATTTCCTCAAAGGAAATTGCAGTTGACAAAATTTCCTCACAGGAAAAAGTATTTCCTCTAAGGAAAATTTGAAGCTGCAAATTTCCTCAGAGGAAAATTTGAAGCCTCAAATTTCCTCAGAGGAAATAGAATTTCCTCAAAGGAAAATTTGAAGCCGCAAATTTCCTCACAGGAAATAGAATTTCCTCAAAGGAAATATTAATGCAGCAAATTCCCTAAGGGAAATCTTTTTCCCTTGAGGAAAATACAATTTCCCTTGAGGAAAAATCTTTTTCCTTTAGGGAAATTTGATTTCCCTTGAGGAAAACTACTTTTCCTCTGAGGAAATTGTTGAAAAAAGGGGCATAACTTTTTCAACAGTGGTGCTAGAGCCAAAATTTTTTAGGACAAATATCAGGGAACCAAAACCAACCAAGTTATCAACTTCATTTTTACTTAACTCCAAAAATTAAGGTGACAACTTTTGCACTCAGCGGAACTGAAAACTTGTCCCGGAGACTGTTTATAATTCGACATAACGGATTGTACAATCTACAATTAAGATTAAAATCCGTGATTGCGATTTTTGAGTTTGTGTTTGTAGATATCGTATATGTTCTATACTCAGAGGGATTGAACTCTTCTGTGACATCGTGGCATCACTGCATGCACTTTGTTCAGCACCATAACTACTCGACCACTTCTTGTAGAACGAACATTCAGTCTCTTAAACAGAAGCTTTCGATTTCATTACTATCTCGTGTATTGCCTTGCTTTTAATAAACTCGTCCTGAATATGCAACATGGCATAAGCTACGCTAAAAACCAATATATTTTTTTACAAGAACCAGAGGTCATTGGTTGTCCTTAAACACTGGAAAATTCTATTGACCTTCTTTATCTGTCTACAAATGTGAGAAAAACCCATACTGTATAATATGTATTGTTAATTTTTTAGTGTTGAATATGCAGGAAATATTTGCCACTAGACGTAAAGCAAACAACAATAAATCAAGCATACAAGGAGCCTGTTTTTCGGTGGCTGTCGTTTGTTGATGTGGTTCATAGGTGTTTCTCGTTTTTATATAGATTAGACCGTTGGTTTTCCTGTTTGAATTGTTTTACACTAGTCATTTTGGGGGCCCTTTATAGCTTGCTGTTCGGTGTGAGCCAGGGCTCCGTGTTGAAGGCCGTACTTTGACCTATAATTGTTAACTTTTTTATACATTGTGACTTGGATGGATAGTTGTCTCATTGGCACTCATACCACATCTTCTTATTAATATATACAGTGTATGTTATGGAGAAGCACCAAATACCACTTTAAAGTCTTTGTCTCGACACTCTACCGTCCAGAACCGACACGTATCAATGGAACCCCAGAAGCGGTTTGTAGATCAAAAGAGACAGGACGAAATCATTACTCTTCACTTTCAGTTATTTTCATATGGTCTTGTATAACGTTCTTATGTGTATCAAATATATATATTGACTCTTGATTATGCATGGTCACAACAGATTATTCGCATGAAAAGATATGTCTTTTTGTGTTTTGTGAAAGATGTGCAACTAGATGGTGCCCAATTTATTGTCTGTGAAGTAGTAGTAATTATATGACAAGAACCCAATTTACCGTACCATTTATTGATCTGCTGTACATTTTTTGTACTTCTGTCTAATTCCAAAGTTTAAAAAAATAGCCATTTGGGTGCTGTCAAAAAAAACAATGGGAATACACTGCCATTTAAAAAAAACCACCATTCCGTTAGGTAAAATATTGCGCCTGGGCTTTTGGGTAATTTTGTCGTGGAGTAGCTGTCTCATTGAAGTATACCTCACGTGTTCATTGATTCACCTTTGAAGATCGGTCGTGAGGATGGATTCTAAAATGTTTCTCGCTCATCATTGTGTATAGTTTAATTGAATTTTATTGAAAAGATGTTATACATGTATTATAGATGATTCTAACATGACGTTCTTCAAACGCTTTGAGTACACACCCGTGGTAAAATATGAATATATTGTTTGGGCTGTCCCGATCGTACTCCCGCGTCATACGCTTTTTTATGAATGAGCTACCCGACGTCATAGAATGATGACGTAAGAATATAAGCATTTTACGGGAAAATACACGCTTGTGAAACCGAAAATCATCACAACAAGGAAACGTAAACAAATGATGCTAAAATGTGTTATATAAGCCGTTTTTTGTTTACATATTTATAAGACATATAAATACAATTATTATTTAGATTCATCCAAACCTATCTAAATATGTCATTGTAAATAGTTTAAGCATGCCATTTATTCAGTTTGCTCCGTTCTTTTACGTCAATTTAATAGTGCGTTTATTTATGGGAACGGCAAATAATGCCTTCACCTAGAGCGCTTCGATCCAAACGAATTGCCTTATTTGTCCTATTAGAATCGAAATAACTCATGGTGGCTTGAATATATCGTGATTTATGCCGATATTTTACCCCTCGCTATCGCTCAGGGTGAAATATTTGTCATAAAGGGCCAACCCGTGGTATAATCACGATATATTCAAGCCCCCATGAATTATTTCTTAAATATCTTTTCCATTTTAAAAGGGCAAGCTTAAGTAAATGTTGATCTATTCTTGTATTTGTTTGCTAACATAGCAAGACATTATAAACACAGATAAAGTAAATCTTGCTTAAAACATTTAAATGGTTGATGCTTTTGTAACGATGCATCGAGATTGTGTTTTAATGCTTCCAGTTCCTTCCGTGACTTTTTTCCAATCGCAATATCTGCAATAAAGATAGATAGTTTGTAAATGTTTTTATTTTGACATATTTTAGCTCAATAGAATGTTTGCTGATTTTTCTAATGGAACGAGTGTCAAAAAGAACAAATATTACAATATTTTGAGTTTTTATCAAAGGAAATGATCTCTGATGACTACAGAACTGTCAAACTTGTTTTGTCTGTTATAAATTAGATTTGCCTTCCACTGTAAATTCCATATTACATGTACTTAATATAATACCATACATTGCATATGTAACCATGTGATTCCATTCATTTCATATTTTATATAAATGTTATTGTTATTATAACCGTTAATATTCATATACCTCTTGAGAAATTAAAGTTTTACGTTTCAAGTTTTGTGGAGAGCCTTTGACACTGATTTAGGAATATCAGTGGTGCGTTCGAAGAGTTGCCAACATCAAATCCCTAATTGACGACGGAGACATTTCAAACAGTACTGGTATTCCAATCTATTGCAATACTAGAAAATGGTTAAATTTCATAAAGGAAATATTGATTACGATTGCGCAACGTTGTTGTCAATGATTCCGACCGTCAAACAAAGAATTGACGACAAAATCAGACGTCATCCAATGAAAAGTAGCGTTACGTATCATATTGCATTAGACTACACATTCGTTCATGTATAAGGGTTAAAGCCTTTACCTGTGTCGATGGGTTATAAATCTTGCAATGCTTTTAAAGAAAGAGAAGAGAAGTTGCTGGACAGCTTTATCATCGATTGGTAGCTTTCACATTTGAATACTGAGAAATACGAGAGGTGTCACCAGTGGAGAAAACTGCCGCTAACATTAAAGAGCATCCAGGATTTTGGTGAATGAGGTACCTTTATTCCTCATATTTGTTTTAATTTTTTTTTCTGTGTAGTGTTTGTAATGTTATGCTGGTTTTTCGAAGTATTTTTTTTAGGCACATCCTTATACATAGGACTGTTTTCTGCTTGGACGTTGCGCACGGTATCGGTGCTTCTTTGAAAAAATGCGTTAGATAGCGGGTTAATCCATTCACGCTCTTTTCCTATACAATATATATCCATGATCAGTATATCATTCGAAAGGAAATAAACCACAGAAATCAATAAAATAGATGAATTTGTGCTATTTATATCATGTAAAGAAAAACTTTGCTCATTTCGACGGCTATAACGTCATTTTAAGGGTGTCCCGCTGTTACAATTTTGTTTTGTTTGTGTCTTTGAAATCACAATGCGGACTAGTTCGTAAGTTAAATGAGATAACATTTTACAACAGTATTGTATACAATTGATGAAAAATAGCGTCATAAACGTTTTTAACTGTGAGTGAAAGAAGATTGTCAGGAGCGTTGAGCTTAGGAAGAGAAAAAATGTCCCATTCAGCTGCTCAGCTCCTATGAAAACTTTCGGCCTCCACTATTACAAGATATAACAGATGAAAGTGGCTTTTAATATTATCAGAAAGTTTATACATGTCCTAAAGAAGCTTTATGAAGTCATCACTATATAACTGCAGTCTTACTTTCAAAACATCGTCAGTTTTCCCGTGTCCAATAAAATGTCCCGATGGATAAAATGACGCATAGAGTAACCCAGAGGCTGTTTATTAAACGAAATTTTATTTGATCCCCAATTTTGAACACTCTTTAACCAATATGAACGGAAAATACATTTCATTTCTTCTAAAATGATGTGATATATATTTTTGTTTGAGCTGCAGGTATAAAATACGAAACGAACTTAGATGTCCAATAACATGTCCCCATAACTGTAATTTGACGTTCACGTCATGATAACGCTTAATTTTTTGCATATTTGGCATACAATTAATCTTATGAAATGATCTGATCTATATTAAATAAAGTTCTTGTTTAAATATGCATCAAAGAAGATCTACATTGTATAAATAATTCAAATATGACGAAATATTTAACTCGGATGCTTGACAAAGACCAGGCTCCGAGGCCAAAAATGTGAGACAAGTTCACATACGATCACAGTCTCACTTTTAGAAAAAGAACATACAGTAAAAATGAAAATGCATCCAAAAATGGGCTCACCTTATTGTTTTCCCTTAGCCAGATTATAAACGACTCAAACCCAAGCTTTACACCCTGACCTTAATTCCTAGCGTTGCAATTAAAGAATCGGAACTATATATGTGAATCAATTTTTCTAGCCAGTTTGCAGAGCCGGGATTTTGTTTTCGTACTTGTATTCTTAGCTCCATGTAGTAGTATAAATATAGAAATGTTTACTGTGAGTAGAACAATCTCTTATCATCTACCTAGCAACATATGTATGAAAAGGAAGGTCACAGTGTTACTTCTAGAAGTAATGTGTGGAATAATGGAGTTTGTTGTCTCGAATCTCCAACAGAATTTACTGCTACATAGGCATGCGATGGACGAGTATTAAAATGTTAATTGAAACTTGTCTTTTACATTAATTTGAGTGTTAGGGTAATAGTTGTCCGATAAATATGATGGATTTCACGCAACTATGTATGTAGCAGGTCCAGTGTAATAATTTAAAGACACTCCCAAGTACATTTTAACCTAGTTTAAGTTCCCTTTAGAAAAAAGCCACCATGCACTCTACCCCATATCTTCCAAAAAAAAAAACCTATCCATATTTCTTGAAAGTGTATATTTTGTGGGAAGTACATCATTGTTTGCATGCATAACCAATTTATAGAAATGCTAAAGAAAGAATATTAAATACAATAAATATACTGCATTGAACACGCTGTATGTGTAACAAATTGACACCATAGTTCCTTTTTTATCACTAAATCAACTACAAAATGTCTGCTGTGTGTATCGGCGGTTCTCTCTGAGCACTTCGGCTTCCTTCAACAATAAAAATTGACCGCCACGAAATAGCCAATCGTGCTGAATTTGGCGTTAAACACAAATAAATCAATCAACCAATCTGCTGTGTGGAAAAGTTCATTTTTGTGTATAGTAGATTTATTTTTTCTCTTCGCAAAACGTCACAAAAATGGCTGGAATATTGCCTTTATACTTGTTAAAAAATCAAAATCACTCAAAACCGAATCCCGAAACCCGTAACTTGATAACCCGTTTGAAAACGGTCTAAAAATGTCAAAGAAAATTTAGTGTTAACCAATACCCAGTTATATTTTAAAATTGGAAGCGCTAAAAAACCCAATTCATAGTATAAAACGTACATGAAATGCACTCCTGGTCCATAGTACTTCCTTTCAGAAAACATTGATCCATGTATATTTACGAAAGCAGCTACTTAAATAATATATATCTTGTCACAACAAATTGAGTATATTTTTTAAAATCGGTTTCACTCTGCTGTTGGTCAAATATCAGTTGATGTAGCTTTATTTGGGTCCATATAAAAAGGGGTAGAGTTTTTCATACTTTGCCAAAATGCTATAATTTCAAAAACATAGTAAAAAGTATGGATCGCCGACCTTTTTTTAGAGCTTTTAAAAGTTTGTGGAAAATGTTCAGATTTTGTAAGGATTATACACGGGAAATGTAAATTTATGCGAATATAAAGAAAACTAAAAGATAGAGTTTTAAATAATATATATATATGAGAAGACAGCTCTTATAATGTGCTCCCCGAAAGCAAAAAATAAAACACGGAATCCCCATATTCGTTTTCTTACTTCATCACAAAATAGGTAAATGTTTTGTAAATTCCTTTATAAAATAAATTATAAACATTCTGGATTATTTACCTGATAAAACAACCATGATTTAAAAATTTCAATCAATGAAACCTTTTTTTTAAATGAAAAAGATGTAACCATAAAATTAGCTCATTATTTATTCTTTTCAAAGAAAATTTCACAAATTAATTTCATTTATTCATCATTCAATCTTGCTAACAATAATGGTAAAAATTTTAAATCGATTATTTGTAGTTTTCTGCAATAAAAAAATTAATAATTTAAACCCCGTTCTACCTTCAAATATTGAAAATCAACAATGGCAGCACAAGTACACGTATTTCTATTTCATACGTGATGCATATTCCATAAAGTTTTTCCTAAGGGATTTATCAAAAAATATTGCCAATTTTAAACAATTTCCACAAAATTGTTATTGATGTCAAAATCGTGAACTAATACGCATATGATGATGATTCATCGAGTTAAACCGATAATATATGAAATATGAATTATAACACTAGTATAAGCGACTTTTATTTTTAGAAAAAAATGAATACAACGGACCTCTTATGAATAAAGTGGAGATAAAATGAGAATGACGTTGCGCACGGTATCGGTGCTTCTTTGAAAAAATGCGTTAGATAGCGGGTTAATCCAATTCACGCTCTTTTCCTATACAATATATATCCATGATCAGTTTATCATTCGAAAGGAACTAAACCACAGAAATCAATAAAATAGATGAATTTGTGCTATTTATATCATGTAAAGAAAAACTTTGCTCATTTCGACGGCTATAACGTCATTTTAAGGGTGTCCCGCTGTTACAATTTTGTTTTGTTTGTGTCTTTGAAATCACAATGCGGACTAGTTCGTAAGTTAAATGAGATAACATTTTACAACAGTATTGTATACAATTGATGAAAAATAGCGTCATAAACGTTTTTAACTGTGAGTGAAAGAAGATTGTCAGGAGCGTTGAGCTTAGGAAGAGAAAAAATGTCCCATTCAGCTGCTCAGCTCCTATGAAAACTTTCGGCCTCCACTATTACAAGATATAACAGATGAAAGTGGCTTTTAATATTATCAGAAAATTTATACATGTCCTAAAGAAGCTTTATGAAGTCATCACTATATAACTGCAGTCTTACTTTCAAAACATCGTCAGTTTTCCCGTGTCCAATAAAATGTCCCGATGGATAAAATGACGCAAAGAGTAACCCAGAGGCTGTTTATTAAACGAAATTTTATTTGATCCCCAATTTTGAACACTCTTTAACCGATATGAACGGAAAATACATTTCATTTCTTCTAAAATGATGTGATATATATTTTTGTTTGAGCTGCAGGTATAAAATACGAAACGAACTTAGATGTCCAATAACATGTCCCCATAACTGTAATTTGACGTTCACGTCATGATAACGCTTAATTTGTTTTACATATTTGGCATACAATTAATCTTATGAAATGATCTGATCTATATTAAATAAAGTTCTTGTTTAAATATGCATCAAAGTAGATCTACATTGTATAAATAATTCAAATATGACGAAATATTTAACTCGGATGCTTGACAAAGACCAGGCTCCGAGGCCAAAAATGTGAGACAAGTTCACATACGATCACAGTCTCACTTTTAGAAAAAGAACATACAGTAAAAATGAAAATGCATCCAAAAATGGTCTCACCTTATTGTTTTCCCTTAGCCAGATTATAAACGACTCAAACCCAAGCTTTACACCCTGACCTTAATTCCTAGCGTTGCAATTAAAGAATCGGAACTATATATGTGAATCAATTTTTCTAGCCAGTTTGCAGAGCCGGGATTTTGTTTTCGTACTTGTATTCTTAGCTCCATGTAGTAGTTTAAATATAGAAATGTTTACTGTGAGTAGAACAATCTCTTATCATCTACCTAGCAACATATGTATGAAAAGGAAGGTCACAGTGTTACTTCTAGAAGTAATGTGTGGAATAATGGAGTTTGTTGTCTCGAATCTCCAACAGAATTTACTGCTACATAGGCATGCGATGGACGAGTATTAAAATGTTAATTGAAACTTGTCTTTTACATTAATTTGAGTGTTAGGGTAATAGTTGTCCTATAAATATGATGGATTGCACGCAACTATGTATGTAGCAGGTCCAGTGTAATAATTTAAAGACACTCCCAAGTACATTTTAACCTAGTTTAAGTTCCCTTTAGAAAAAAGTCACCATGCACTCTACCCCATATCTTCCAGAAAAAAAAAACCTATCCATATTTCTTGAAAGTGTATATTTTGTAGGAAGTACATCATTGTTTGCATGCATAACCAATTTATAGAAATACTAAAGAAAGAATATTAAATACAATAAATATACTACATTGAACACGCTGTATGTGTAACAAATTGACACCATAGTTCCCTTTTTATCACTAAATCAACTACAAAATGTCTGCTGTGTGTATCGGCGGTTCTCTCTGAGCACTTCGGCTTCCTTCAACAATAAAAATTGACCGCCACGAAATAGCCAACCGTGCTGAATTTGGCGTTAAACACAAATAAATCAATCAACCAATCTGCTGTGTGGAAAAGTTCATTTTTGTGTATAGTAGATTTATTTTTTCTCTTCGCAAAACGTCACAAAAATGGCTGGAATATTGCCTTTATACTTGTTAAAAAATCAAAATCACTCAAAACCGAAACCCGAAACCCGTAACTTGATAATACGTTTGAAAACGGTCTAAAAATGTCAAAGAAAATTTAGTGTTAACCAATACCCAGTTATATTTTAAAATTGGAAGCGCTAAAAAACCCAATTCATAGTATAAAACGTACATGAAATGCACTCCTGGTCCATAGTACTTCCTTTCAGAAAACATTGATCCATGTATATTTACGAAAGCAGCTACTTAAATAATATATATCTTGTCACAACAAATTGAGTATATTTTTTAAAATCGGTTTCACTCTGCTGTTGGTCAAATATCAGTTGATGTAGCTTTATTTGGGTCCATATAAAAAGGGGTAGAGTTTTTCATACTTTGCCAAAATGCTATAATTTCAAAAACATAGTAAAAAGTATGGATCGCCGACCTTTTTTTAGAGCTTTTAAAAGTTTGTGGAAAATGTTCAGATTTTGTAAGGATTATACACGGGAAATGTAAATTTATGCGAATATAAAGAAAACTAAAAGATAGAGTCTTAAATAATATATATATGAGAAGACAGCTCTTATAATGTGCTCTCCGAAAGCAAAAAATAAAACACGGAATCCCCATATTCGTTTTCTTACTTCATCACAAAATAGGTAAATGTTTTGTAAATTCCTTTATAAAATAAATTATAAACATTCTGGATTATTTACCTGATAAAACAACCATGATTTAAAATTTTCAATCAATGAAACCTTTTTTTTTAAATGAAAAAGATGTAACCATAAAATAAGCTCATTATTTATTCTTTTCAAATAATGAGCTTATTTTATGGTTACATCTTTTTCATTTAAAATAAGCTCATTATTTATTCTTTTCAAAGAAAATTTCACAAATTAATTTCATTTATTCATCATTCAATCCTGCTAACAATAATGGTTAAAATTTTAAATCGATTATTTGTAGTTTTCTGCAATAAAAAAATTAATAATTTAAACCCCGTTCTACCTTCAAATATTGAAAATCAACAATGGCAGCACAAGTACACGTATTTCTATTTCATACGTGATGCATATTCCATAAAGTTTTTCCTAAGGGATTTATAAAAAAATATTGCCAATTTTAAACAATTTCCACAAAATTGTTATTGATGTCAAAATCGTGAACTAATACGCATATGATGATGATTCATCGAGTTAAACCGATAATATATGAAATATGAATTATAACACTAGTATAAGCGACTTTTATTTTTAGAAAAAAATGAATACAACGGACCTCTTATGAATAAAGTGGAGATAAAATGTGATTACGAAAAGAAAAATATCAGGCTATCGTCTATGAACATCTTTCAAATAATCAAATTAAGAAGCATTTGAATATTAGCTAAATTTTAAAAAGACAAATTGTGGGAGAGAAAATACCAACATCAACAACGTGACAAAAAGAAACTAATAATAGAAGGGAAGAAACAGAAACAAGAAACAAAGTATTAACAATTTTACTAGCCAAGATTGAAGAAGTTTTGCGGCACAAAGAACATTACTTAATTTTTAGAAAAAGAAGAAACTGATAATACAGATATATATGCACATAATATTTTGGAAGCACACTCTTCATAAGTGAAAAACGGTAGTGTCAGTTTTTCCCTGCATTTGTTTCGCTTATTGTATCAAAATCAGTTTTGAAGTTTCAAAACATTCTGGATTTTGAAAATGAAAGACGCTAAATAATATACAAAAAAGATGTTCAATCTTCTCACATACAAATGATTCAAAACGTCAAATTGTTATTCAGTGCTAAACATTGCTGTTAGGGGCAATTTTTCATGAGTGTTTAAAATATTTTTTTTAATTTGGATATCAATGTTTGTATTTATTAATGAAAAATGAAAATACATAATAAATCGAAGCGACTACGAAAATCTCTGCAAAATAAAGACTTCTTAAAAGAATGTAAATTCTATGGTTACTTAAAGTGTCATTTTCACATAAGTAAAAAACTTGTATGCTTGAAACGTTCTTTGAAACAACGTCAGCATCCTTGTTTTATTGGGCCGTCGTGTAACGCTCAGTGGTACCAATACCGTGCGCAACGTCATTACGAAAAGAAAAATATCAGGCTATCGTCTATCAACATCTTTCAAATAATCAAATTAAGAAGCATTTGAATATTAGCTAAATTTTAAAAAGACAAATTGTGGGAGAGAAAATACCAACATCAACAACGTGACAAAAAGAAACTAATAATAGAAGGGAAGAAACAGAAACAAGAAACAAAGTATTAACAATTTTACTAGCCAAGATTGAAGAAGTTTTGCGGCACAAAGAACATTACTTATTTTTTAGAAAAAGAAGAAACTGATAATACAGATATATATGCACATAATATTTTGGAAGCACACTCTTCATAAGTGAAAAACGGTAGTGTCAGTTTTTCCCTGCATTTGTTTCGCTTATTGTATCAAAATCAGTTTTGAAGTTTCAAAACATTCTGGATTTTGAAAATGAAAGACGCTAAATAATATACAAAAAAGATGTTAAATCTTCTCACATACAAATGATTCAAAACGTCAAATTGTTATTCAGTGCTAAACATTGCTGTTTAGGGGCAATTTTTCATGAGTGTTTAAAATATCCTTTTTAATTTGGATATCAATGTTTGTATTTATTAATGAAAAATGAAAATACATAATGAATCGAAGCGACTACGAAAATCTCTGCAAAATAAAGACTTCTTAAAAGAATGTAAATTCTATGGTTACTTAAAGTGGCATTTTCTCATAAGTAAAAAACTTGTATGCTTGAAACGTTCTTTGAAACAACGTCAGTATCCTTGTTTTATTGGGACGTCGTGTAACGCTCAGTGGTACCAATACCGTGCGCAACGTCTCTATTGATCTTGTACGTTGCAGTCTGGATTAAACTTATTACTCTTATTAGGTGTAAAAAAGAAGATGTGTTATGCCAATGAGACAACTCTTCACAAGAGACCAAATGACACAGACATTAACAACTATAGGTCACCGTACGGCCTTCAACAATGAGCAAAGCCCATACCGCATGGTCAGCTATAAAAGGCCCCGAAATGACAAATGTAAAACAATTCAAACGAGAAAACTAACGGCCTAACTTATGTACAAAATTTTAGTGTGCCTCCTGTCCTTTTATGTCATACATAGAGCAACGTAGAATCCAGTACATGTAACAATGAGCAATTTCACTTTACCGGATGGCTTTATAAATTCCAGCAGCAAATATTACATACATATCCAGGACAGTACGGACCTGCAATGTACTGTACCGACACGAAGGGTTATGTTTTTGAAGTCCAAGCTCATGTGATAAGTCCATAGAAATTTATGTCACCCGCTTTTTAAAGGTGAAATGAAAGAATATCAGCCTGAAGGAACATGGTTTATTCATTAGATGCAATTTGGCTTTGAATTAGAGTTCAGTGACAGCGAATACTGTTAGGTCGGTACTCTACATGTGTTTTTGTTACTTGTTAAAGTGCTGAGTACAGATCTGCCGATCTCGAGTCAAGCCCTTTCTCACTAATTGTTTTTTACAGTTTGATCTTGTGTTGATTCAAACGGTTTTAGGTTAGGGGAGGGTTAAGCAAACACCTAAGACACATTTGATGCCCTCGCCATACTGATTTTTTTCCACAATATAAGACAATTAAGTTGCTGTTCCTTTCAAGATTCATATCGTAAGTTTCGAAAATTTAACAGGAGGTAAAAAATGTGAATGAGAATAATATCAAAATGTACATGGTAAGTGCAATATACAGTAAACAGGTGTTCTTGGTGAACAAGGGACTGATGTGACAAATTCTATTTATCTGATAGTCATCGTAAGTGCATCTTACACCACTGTATAATGACAAGTGTAACCTACTGGACTTTTTGTCACGGGGTTGTATAACAATTACTTAATTCACTATTCTTTTATTTATAGAAAATTAAAAGAAATACAAAATCCAGTCCATTTGCACACTCCAAGTTCATGTACGAACAAACTGCATAATAAAAAAGATATATCTTGAAAACTACAAGAAGAGTTAGCTTGATTAACTCTGTTCTCATCATGCAGAATTCCCCCCCCCCCCCCCCAAAAAAAAAAAAAACTGACAAAGTTCAACATCCTGTCCAGGTGCGGATCCAGGATTTTGAAAAGGGGGTTATCCGTAAAGACACTGTTAGCTGTGGAAATGTAAAATGTCTATGCATAAATCAAATATGTAGCTCCATAAGGGAGGCAAGGCCCCCTGTCCCTCCCCTCTAAATCCGCCTCTGCAGTGTCACTTGTGTAAAATGTAAAAAAAATAATTTAAGTCCTGAAAATTTGCCCACCCTTGTTATATGTGCAGACACCCTGCATAATATAGAGATTCTAACTTGAAAACTGGAGATGTTAGCTAGACGAACCATGAAGCCTGTATAATTTCACCCAAAAAATACGAAAGTTCATCATCCTGTCATTTGTGGAAAATTTAACGAAAATCAAAATCCTAATGATATGCACATCTTTAGAATATATACTAACAACCTGCATAATATAAAGGTTCTGCGTTAAAAACTGAAAGAATGAAGAGTTGAGTGTGGCTGGACAAAACATGTACTCTTTATGGGACTGACGGACGGACTGGAATACAACTATGCCCGACATTTTGTGGTTGGGGCATACGCATTTTATCTAGCAATCTATTAATGTTTTTGATTTTGAACCAAATAATGATTTATGACAATCATGACTCAAGTTCTAATGTCCTCTTCAAAAGACCTATTGTTTTCAAAAGATTTAAAAAAAAATACTTTAATGTTTATTTTTAACCCAAGATATTTGTTTTTAATTTGACAGCAAGCAGTCGCAAAATAAGGGGGAACACATTTGGGTCGTAACAGTTGTCTGTCCTTTCATTACATTTCAAAATTAATGCACAAGCCACCTACCTTTTTGAACCGTCGTTTCATTGTTTCTTTAAATCTCGGATTTCTCGCTCGGCTGGTTCAATTATATCCTCCACAATTCGGAAATCAAACTCTTCAATAACGGTTTTCAAATATTCATAATTCCCGGTACCCATAATTCCTTTCTTTTCCAGCAAGTCAAAAATATCACTAATGCTTTTGACAGTTATTCTCTCTTTAGGATGAAGAACGGCTTTCAGTCTTTCAACAATTTGTTTATTCTGCTCAGCTTCAACTATTTGCGAAATGTAGTCTCCGACATCAGATTTTAGTTTATTATGTCTCTCGCATATAGATTTCAGTGCCATTCTTGCAGTTCAATGACCTCGTGTTTTATAGTAAACAGTGCTTTCACATCTTATAGTGTGGCCAACATTAAGTTTATATACTGCCAAAAATGAGATTTATTTTTAGCTACTTTCATGTGTTTTTAAGATTATTACCAGTTTGTTTATGCGTGTACATGTAATGTTGCTATTATGTCATGACAACATGTTTTTATAGTGTATGGGACATAACAATTGCAAGAAAGTTTTGAATATCGTGTGGTGAACTCTGGATAACATGGCGTTGGAATGCCGTTTCATTGACTTGCATTATTGTCTTTATTCATATTTCACAAATCAAGGCAGAATGATAAAAAAGTGTCCTGCATACGAGCAACGTTACTTTACTTTTCTCTTTTTATTTTTGGTCTTTTCTTAAATTCATATGTTTGGGATATTGTGTACCAAGTCCAAAAGACTTCTGTACTGGTTCCCAACAATCGTTATTTTAATATGACCAATATTTTGATACAACTGGCAAATCAATCTGTAGACAGATCTGGAAAGTTTAAACTGTTTTTTTTCCTGATAATTTCAACTTGCCGATCTAGCAAGGAATTAACTCAAACCGTCTCGAAACTTGCAGTGAGTTGTACAAGTGATCATTTGCCCAATTGTTGACGGCCACATTAAATCGTGATTTTCAGATAAAGAACAACAATAAAAGTGCTGGACATGTGCTTTTTTTTTAGGAATTGGAATGAATGTGTGTCCATAATGCCCTTTATATTCCGTGGTGCAAATGTACCATGGAAACTATTTAGAGGCTCTCAAGAGCCTGTGTCGCTCACCTGTATTTACTGATGCTTTGGAAATCATGTAAAATAAGGTTAAAATCATAATTAATAGTATTAGAAATTAGATATTATAATGATATCTAAGATAATAACAAACAACTGTAAAATTTCTGTAAAATTACCAACTCAGGGGCAGCAACCCAGCAACGGGTTGTCGGATTCGTCTGCAAATTTCAGGGCAGATAAATCTAATTCTGATGAACATTTTTGCCACCTGTCAGATTTGCTCTAAATGCTTTAGTTTCAGAGATATAAACCAAAAACTGCATTTTACCCCTATATTCTATTTTTAACCAAGTCGGCCATGATGGTTGGAAGGCGGGGTCATCGGACAAATTTTTTAAACTAGATACCCTAATAATGATTATGGCCAAGTATGGTTAAATTTGTCTCAGTAGTTTCAGAGAAGAAGATTTTTGTAAAAGATTACAAAAATTTAAGAAAAATTGTTAAAAATTGACTATAAAGGGCAATAACTCCTAAAGGGGTCGATTGACAATTTTGGTCATGACAACTTATTTGTAGATCTTACTTTGCTGCACATTATTGCTGTTTACAGTTTATCTCTATCTATAATAATATTCAAGATAACCAAAAACTGCAAAATTTCCTTAAAATTACCAATTCAGGGGCAGCAACCCAACAACAGGTTGTAAGATTTGTCTGTAAATTGCTGGGCAGATAGATCTTGACCTGATAATCAGTTTAATCCTATGTCAGATTTACTCTAAATGCTTTGGTTTCAGAGATATAAGCCAAAATCTACAGTTTACCCCTATGTTCTATTTTTTAGCCATGGCCGCCATCTTGGTTGGTTGGCGGGGTCATCGGACACATTTTTTTAAAAACTAGATACCCTAATGATGATTGTGGCCAAGTTTGGTTAAATTTGGCCCAGTGGTTTCAGAGAAGAAGATTTTTGTAAAAAGCTAACGACGACGGACGACGACGACGGACGACGGACGCCAAGTGATGAGAAAAGCTCACTTGGCCCTTCGGGCCAGGTGAGCTAAAAACTCTTTGAATGCTCCGACAAGCAGCTGTATGTAAAGTAAAAATACAATTGAGCTTTCCGTTTCCATATTTATTACTTTTTTAACGATACAAAATGTAAAAGATAATAAATAAAAAGTAACATTAAAAATTACTTCAAATTAAGGCCATCGAAGTGTTTGTGTAAATTGTTCTGAATAATCCCAGTTCCGTATACAAAAACCTTGTATATACAATATAACATTTTAGAAAAAAAAAAAGAATACTCGAACGTTCACTTTTTATGCAAACGGAAGAAGTTGTAGTTCGAGCGGATTTCCAAACCGATGCATGTAAGATAAAAGTCTTTTATACAAGTAGTGTCTATAATTTACTCTTACACTTCTAGCATGTCTAGACACTTCTGCCAAAAGGCACACAAGGAACATGAGGAACCACGGTTTACTTTTTCAAATTAAGATTGCCACATTGCAATTCCACAACTTCTTCCCTTCCCATTTCCATGCTTTGTGACCATCTTAAAAATCATCAAATGACTGCTCCCAACAGTAAGTAAACATTAAAGTAAAAAATCTTATGACATCATAAAAAATTATACACAAACAACAGAGATCTCATATTTACGTTTTACGAAATATTGACATACTTAAATATATATTAATAGGCGAAAATTAAAAACAATGTTATGTTTCCGGTTACAGAGTACATGATTTTGTTATTTAATTCCACCTCACCCATCCATCGACTCATTGATTTAATAGAAAAAATAACAGCCTGTTTCCGGCCTTCAAAATATATTCTTTTTTTTTGGCTAGACGAAATCTTCCTAGGTTTGCTGTTCATTTCCATGTATTATACATTTGTTTAGTATACAAGATAAAAAATATACCATTTAACCATAAACTAGAATAAAATGCTCCGCAGGGCGCAGCTTGATACGACCGCAGAGGTCGAACCCTGAACAGTTGGGGGAAGTATGGACACAACATTCAAGCTTGGTACAGCTTTGGATTTGGATTGTGATTAAATATTTGACACAGCATAGGTTTCTAACACAGATTGAATGTGGTCTAAGAACTTAAAAATTTTAAATTGGACATTCACCTATTATGGTCCAATATCCAAAATCTAAATACATGGTTAGATTCAGCATATCAAAGAACCCCAAGAATTCAATTTTTGATGAAATCAAACAAAGTTTAATTTTGGACCCTTTTGACCTCAATGTGGACAAAGTTGATAACGGGGCCCAAAAATCAAAAATCTAAATTCATGGTTAGATTCAGCATATCAAAGAACCCCATATATTCAATTTTTGTTGAAATCAAACAAAGTTTAATTTTGGACCCCGATTTGGACCAACTTGAAAACTGGGCCCATAATCAAAAATCTAAATACATGTTTAGATTCAGCATATCAAAGAACCCTAAGAATTCAATTTTTGTTAAAATCAAACTAAGTTTAATTTTGGACCCTTTGGACCTTAATGTAGACCAATTTGAAAACGGAACCAAAAATTAAGAATCTAAATACACGGTTAGATTCGGCATATCAAAGAACCCCAATAATTCAATTTTTGATGAAATCAAACAAAGTTTAATTTTGGACCCTTTTGACCTCAATGTGGACAAAGTTGATAACGGGGCCCAAAAATCAAAAATCTAAGTACATGGTTAGATTCAGCATATCAAAGAACCCCATATATTCAATTTTGGTTGAAATCAAACAAAGTTTAATTTTGGACCCCGATTTGGACCAACTTGAAAACTGGGCCCATAATCAAAAATCTAAATACAAGTTTAGATTCAGCATATCAAAGAACCCTAAGAATTCAATTTTTGTTAAAATCAAACTAAGTTTAATTTTGGACCCTTTGGACCTTAATGTAGACCAATTTGAAAACGGAACCAAAATTTAAGAATCTAAATACATAGTTAGATTCGGCATATCAAAGAACCCCAATAATTCAATTTTTGATGAAATCAAACAAAGTTTAATTTTGGACCCTTTGGACCTCAATGTGGACCAATTTAAAAACGGGGCCCAAAATCCAAAAACTAAATACACGGTTAGATTCAGCATATTAAAGAACCCCATGAAATCAAGAATAAAACCCCATTGAAATTGGTCAAGAAATAAGCAATTTATAGGAAGTATCTTCTTTTGCACAATCCTGTGCTATTAAATATTTCTTGCTATTGCGCAATACTGTACAATTGACAATTTCTTGCTATTGCGCAATATTGTGCTATTGGATATTTCTTGCTATTGCGCAATACTGTGCAATTGAAGATTTCTTGCTATTGCGCAATACTGTGCAATTGAAGATTTCTTGCTATTGTGCAATACTGTGCAATTGAAAATTTCTTGCTATTGCACAATACTTATTATATAATAATTTACACATCCTGTTTGGTGTGTATCTCCTACCATATCATTATTATTTGATTTTAAATATAAATCAGATATAACCAACTTAAAATGGAAAATTTTAAAAGAAACAAAAAAGGAAAAAAAGAAAAAAAAGGAAAAAAAAATAAATCCCCCCCCCAAAATTTTTTGAACCCCCATTATGATTCATCACCCCCAAACTCAATCCCAGCCTTCCCTTTGTAGTATGGTACCTTGCAGTACAATTTCAGAGAGATCCATACACTTGAACACAAGTTATTGTCTGGAAACTAGAAAAAAATGTGTTTTTTGGCCCCTTTTTGGCCCCAAATTCCTAAACGTTTAGGGCAATTACCCCCAAACTCAAACCAAGCTTTCCCTTTGTGATATGGAACCTTGTAGTACAATTTCAGAAAGATCCATACACTTACACACAAGTTATTGTCATGAAACTAGAAAAATGCTTGTTTTTTGCCCCTTTTTTGGCCCCTAATTCCTAAAATTTGGAGGCAATTACCCCCAAAATCAATCCCAGCATTCCTTTAGTGATATGGAACCTTGTGGTACAATGTCAGAGAGATCCATACACTAACACACAAGTTATGTCTGGAAGTTACAAAAATGCTTATTTTTGGCCCCTTTTTGGCCCCTAATTCCTTTACTGTTATTACCACAACCCCCAAAATCAATCCCAACCTTCCTTTTGTGGTATTGAACCTTGTGGTAAAATTTCATAAAGATCCATTCACTTAAACTAAAGTTAGAGTGCGAAAACCAATGTGTCTTCGGACGACGCCGGACGACGCCAGACGACGACGACGACGACGACGACGGACGACGACGACGACGACGCCAACGCCAACGTCATACCAATATACGACCACAAAAATTTTTTTGCGGTCGTATAAAAAAGAACTGTTGACACACATTTCAAATACATGTAATTTCTTTTATGTTACTTTGAAAAATAAAATAAAAATCTGATCCCTAATTTTTTTAGGTTTTAAAAACAGGTACAAATGCGAGGCTTGCCGAGTACAAAAAAACACAAATTATATCCGAGACAATGCATTGTTATCATCTTTTTACTGCAACGCTCAAAACTGATTATTTTTTTTTATTAAAATCGTGAATGTTTGGTTAAACATGTTAACATCGTGAATTTTTTTAGTTGTTAACATGAAATTAATCGCATGTTAATTCAATCATTTCTATAATCTTAATAAATAGCTATTGTTTGATCAAATAATTCGTCAACATTTTAAAAATATTTGCCAATTAGCGGAACTATTTTTTTCCCTTCTAAATACAAATTCATATATATATATATATATATGTAGACATAAGAAGAAGTTTGGAAAGCGGTGACATGAGAACCAATCACCCACCTTAAGTGATAGTACATAGATACACATGTGGACGGCCACGTCAAAGGTCAAACACGTCGTTAAAGGATGGATACTGACTTGTTCATTACTAAAAATGTACATTTTTTCATCCAAAAACGAATTTTGTATTGAATTAACCTAGCAAGCTGCCGAAGGGAGCTAAAATGGTACAGAAGGGTAGATTTAGGTCTGTATAATATGCCTTGAAAAGAAACTGCTAACAACATAGCGGCTATAAAACTTCCTATCACGTAAACTCTTGTTAGAATGCAAGAAATGTTAAAAAAAATCATAATAATCCGTACTTTGCAGACATATCTTTTTTAAATCACACAAAGCTTTATCGATATAATTTATGGAACTTTAGAATTTATTAAAGGGGGAGGTCAGCATGCACCAAACCAGTCACGTGGCATACGGCTGCATGACAAACTTGAACAAACATGCAGACGGCCAGAACGGACACACTGATCCAGCAATGCACATGTGTATCAACAAAATCGGTCAAATCCTTCATAAATAACATTGTAAAGAAATTGTAAAAACAATAAATAATTCAATTTAAGAAAATGGCAAAATATAAATTTTAAAATAAAATCATGCATAGTAACTGTTGTGTACTGATGAATAAAAAGCCATTTAATTGCAACATCGCCAATCTTCATTTACGTTCTCTATCACAAGTAATACGCGGATTGTTTCATTTTTGCAAAGGTTTCATGTGCTTTTTCAGCGCAGCTATTTTGACGCAGCCGTCTATCAGTCGTGGTGCCGGAAGTGTATCGCTTAATGTCGTACATCCAGAAGTTGAAGGATCAAACATTATAAGATCTTTACAAAGCGTGTTACTTTCAATTTCGCCACCAAGAACGATAATGTTACCTTGGTAATGTATGACGCCGAAATGAATTCTCTGATAGGCTGTTAGTCTACCGACGGTTCGGCAATACGTTTTCCTACTTTCTTTTGTGTCTTTGCAAAATTCAACGACACGGCCATCATAGAAAATCAGGAACACTCTGCTGTTTACAGCAACGGAACGTGTAAGCTTACAAGCCATAGGAATTTTGGCATCAAGCTTGCATGACTGACGCATGCGTGTATCAAAGCATTGAATGAAAGCGGTGTCCTTCCGATCGTTCTTTTCACCTCCAAAGGTAAAAATATTTTCACCAACCACTGCTGCTGAAAATGAACTGATTGCAATTGGCAACTGACCTACTTCTGACCATTCGTCTTCGCGGATGTCGTACAATTCGATACTTGAGAGCATGCGCGAGCCATCTTCCAGTTTGTTGTCGTATCCGCCTAACGCATAAAGGCCACCAGTTACAGCAACGACAGAATGGCGGCGCCTTCCGCTTTTCATTGTTGCCATTTGAACCCATTTGTTCTTGTCTGCGTCGTATCTCAGAAGGCAATTCTGCATTGACCCCCCGCCCGACACGAAAATATCATTCTTGTAAGTGCAAGAAGCAAACTCTATGCCAGGATCATAAGGAAGGGCAGATAACTCAAACCATTCTTTACTCTGGAAACTGTAACATATGACCTGCAGACTTCTAATGTACGGTGGGGTGGTAGATTCGCATCCTCCTAAGAGTACAACCACTTCTTCTGTTCCGGACGACAGACGATATCGTGTCTGCTTGTTGCAAATGTCCTGCTGTCGAGCAGGTAGAAGATGGTATTTCTTTGCTTCGTTGATGTATTTCATTGTCTCTAAATCATCTTTGAGAAAGTCATGACGGTCCTCGATCGTTAGTAAATATTCCGGATTAAGGAATGACAGGCGAATGTTTTCAAAAAGATTGCCGCAAAATTTCTTTCGTTTTTCTAAATCGTGTTCAAGCCACTGAAAAACCGTATCACAGAGTCGATCCTCGCTTTCGATCTGTAGGTTGTCCTCTTTCATTATGCTTGCAAGCTCTTTACCTTCTAATTCAACAAAGTCACTAGTTTTACGAATTTCTTGATAGTTGGCAGCAACAATTTTTATTGCATGGTTAGCAAGGTTATGGCAATCATGAAATGATGCAAGTTTCCAAATTTTCAAACAATTTTCGGATGTAATATGTGGATAGAGAAAATCTTCACAAATTTGCTGTAGCATTTTGATTTGCAAAACAGATGCAATACTGAGAATTTCGACTCCATTGTCTATCGTGAGTTCAATATCGCCGCTATATACAAACTTAATCACACAATCAAACAGATCGGGGTCCATTTCCGGAAAAGTTACTTCACCACTTACACTTTCGCGCATGCCGGAAGAAAACATGGCGTCGAAGTATGTGGATACTGCTGCCAACATAAATTTGTGACATTTGAATGTCTTCTCTCCCACAAGAATTATGACATCCGAATGATCTCCGGTACTCCATAAACGTTGGATACCTTCGAGTAGTCCAGTGGAGTATACCTTCTCAGGGGAGACAATAACTTGTGATGACATGCTTGTATCACAAATATCCTATAAGGAAAAAAATATAATTCAACAAAGGTTATAAAGGTATAGGCTGTTTACACTGTGTTTAAGGGGCCTCGGTGGCCGGGTTGTCTAAGTAGTCGAACTACTGTATCACCAGCCAGTCAACACTGAGGTTGTGAGATCGAATCCCGCACCGGACAGGTGTACTCGACTCCAATCTTAATTGACTAGAATTGTTAGTTTTCCTACCGAAGGTCGGTGGTTATCCCCGGCTTCCTCCACTAATAATAATCTGCTTCGCTAAGCGCAGCTGGATACGACCGCATATGTCCAACCCTGAAAAGTTGGGGCCAAAATGGACACAATATTCACGCTTGATACAGATCTGAATTTGGACTGTAATTAAATTTTTGACACATAATAGGTTTCTGACACAGAATAACTGTATTCAAAGAACTTCAAATTGGTTATATGATTTGAATATATATTCAATTTTTTGCTTTTGTGCAATACACTATGCGAATTGACCCCCCTCCCCCCCCCCCCCCCCCCAAAAAAAATTACCCTATTTTTTAGCGTTTGTGCAATACACTATGCTGTGGAATATTAACCCCCCAAAAAAAAAATATTTGAAGAAATTTTCTTTTAATTTCTAAAATCTGAAATGACAAAAATGGTCCCCCTCCAATTTTTTTCACCTCCGCCCTTTCCCTTATTCAAAAAAATTATTCTTTCCCTCAAGTTATGGTCAGTATCTCAGACAATCATCATTTCTTATTACATAATTTACAAGCAGTGTAAGGGAGGTAATCAAACATTGTTATTTAAATTGATTTGGATTTTGATTTGGATTACCTCCCTTACACTGCTTTTAAATTGTCTCAATTGTCCTTTAACCAGAAAAACCCTTGTTTTTCCCCTTTTTTTGCCCCTAATTCCTAAATGGTTTGAGCCATAACCCCCCCAAAGTCAATCCTAACCATCCCTTTGTAGTATGGAATCTTGTGGTATAATTTCAGAGAGATTCATACACTTTAAGACAAGTTATTGTCTAGAAACTACAAAAATGCTTATTTGGGCCCCTTTTTTGGCCCCTGATTCCTAAACAGTTGGAACTATAACCCAAAAAATCAATCCCAACCTTCCTTAAGTGGTTATAAACCTTGTGTTAAAATTTATTGTTTTCTATTCACTTATACTAAAGTTATTATCCGGAAACCATCTGTCTTCGGACGACGCTGACGACAACGTGATACCAATATACGACCAATTTTTAAAAAAAATTTGCGGTCGTATAAAAACTGACCGCCACGAAATAGCACAATAGTGTTGAAAGTGGCGTTAAACACCAATCAATCAATCAATTAATCAATCACTGTGTTTAAAAATACCATTTGTATTACTAAAATTACGAGGTCCAACTTGTAAGCCGGTGTGACTTAAAAAAGATAAATCGAAGAATTCAATTTTATATAATAACTAATATAGGACAATGGTGTTGATTAAAACATACACCATTCTGCAGGGGTGTTCTAGTTTAATTTTAAAAACAAGAAGATGTGGTATGATTGCCAATGAAACAACTCTCCACCACAGACCAACAGATGTAGAAGACAACTAAAATAGGTCACAATACGGCCTTCAATAATGAGCATAACAAATACCGCATAGTAAGCTATAAAAGGCTCTAAAATGTAAAACAATTCAAACGAGAAAACTAACGGTCTGATTTATGTACAACGCAATAAACAATACACAACTACGGTATGTAGCAACAAACGTCAACCACTGAATTACAGGCTTCTGACTTGGGAGTGTGGCGGGGTTATGCATTATCCCTCTAACTCATATTCTTTTACCCTCATGTGCCTATCACAAGTCTGGAGCCTGTTATCCGGTGGTTGTCGTTGATTGCTGTCTGTCGTTATCGTTTTGCATTTATTTTTCTAGTATATTTAATGCAGTTGGTAAGAAAGTAAGTAAGAAATTATATTTAGTTTTGGGTTAATGTATTCTACAGTATTAAATTTTTTCATTGTGAAAGATCATGTGCTGGCATGTAGTTGTTTATATGTACTGTATATATACGAGTTTTACTCATTGTTGAAGACTGTATCGTGGCAATAAGATGTATATATGTTATATACGGTATAACCCGAATTATGCAGTCGTTATATATTCCGATGCTCTACGATTGCTACACCTCCCGAGTGGAAGAGTCGATCACGGGGAGGGACTTAATTATTCGAGTTGTATACGGTATGGGTTTTGCTCATTGTTGAAGGCCGTGTGGTGATAAACGAATATATATTAATAACTACACATCTCCTTATCTTTATATTAGTCCTTCGTACACTATATGGGACGGACGGACTGGTGTACATTTATGCCCGACATTTTGTTGAGATTCTATTGTTCGTAAATGACCGGGCAAATATTTCACAAACATATGTTACCGCCTCGGTGGTCTCAGGGTAGCGTGCTCGCCTTGAGTTCGGGAGGTCGTTGGTTTGAACACCTGCCAGGTCAAACCAAAAACTTTAAATTTGGTATTTGCTGCTTCTTCACTAAGCACGCGGCATATGGAGTAAGACCAAAGATTGATCGGCTCAGAGTCAGAATAATATGTCCAGGTAAGTTAACATATCTTCCTGTGGACTTACCTTGTGAACTAGAAACTAAAAAAATCAGTTTAGCGTGTCGGTTTAGAGCAGGAGTCATATTCATGTCGCATTCACATGTTCTCGTCTTAAATATGCATTTAACATGTTTAATTTACCCCTAGACGTTAACAGCCATCCATCCATCATAAAGCCATTGAGCCCAAATTATTTTATTTATCTTGCAATCAGCCAACTATTGTACAATAACAGGTACACAAATACATTTTTGCTTTATTTGTAAAGTCTCCTGTATCCCTGCTTCCATGTTGAGTAAGCGGTAAAGTGGATACTAGTATTTCTTTTTTACGTAACAGATCATTTTGGGGGCCTTTGCGGTCCGCGTTTAAACTATATCGATCTCTTTTAAAAATCAAAGACAATGATTTGGATTTAAACAACTAAAGCTTCAAGTGCCGGGTGTAAATTGCAGGATACAAACAATACATGCACTTGTTTATGTAAATTGTCGGAAATATAAAATGTATTTGTACTCGCTACGAAAACAGATGAAAAGCTCGGCGAGTCTCGCTTTTCGTCCTGTTTTTTCTAAAGATCGTACAAATAAATTTTATATTTTCCGACAATGTACATATATTGTATATTTCTTAATTTTTTGTTGCTAGTGTAATGTCCCAATCGAGATCGAAAGTTTGTTTGTTTGAATATTTGTTGGTATTTAATGCAACTTTTAGCTTCCTTGGCCTTATCATGGCGGTAATTTTTGATAGTTTGGATGAGTAAGCCGGAGTAAACAGAGAGGACCACCGACTGAAGCTGGAAAACCTGGTCAATAAAAATCGAAGTCGAACACACTTGCTACGAGAGGGATTTGAACTCAAAACACTTGAGCTTTAAATAAATATGAAGATACAAAGGAGAAATTCAAAACTCATAAGTGAAAAAAAAAAACTGACAACGCCATGAGCAAAGAGCAAAAAACGACAAAAAGACTAACGAGTCAACAAACCATACCATAGAAAACTAATAAAGTGATTACACAGAGATATGTCTCGCCTGTCGGCAGAAAGTTCACAAAAAAACAATCTGAAAAAAGTAAAATAACAAAAATACCGAAATTCAAACGGAAAGTCCCTTATTAAATGGCAAAATCAAAAGCTCAAACAATGGAAAGCAACGTTTAGGGGCCAGCTGAAGGACGCCTCCGGGTGCGGGAATTTCCCGCTGCATTGAAGACCTGTTGGTGACCTTCTGCTGTTGTCTGTTCTATGGTCGGGTTGTTGTCTCTTTGACACATTCCCCATTTCCATTCTCAATTTTATTTATTACTTATTAGTTCAAAGTTGCTGGACCATGATATAATGAGCAGCGCGTCAACATAGTCGTTAAACTGATATGTACTGATAGTAATGCAACTTTATAGAAACTATCATTGTCTACCATAAGTAGTTCCGTCCAAAATAATTTAAGCAGAAAAGTTAACATTGAAAATTGGTAATCAAATTATAGTCAATGGACCATGTCTTACGGGGACAGGGTATAGAAATAGTCGTGAAACTGATTAGTACTGAGTCTGATAGTAATGCAACTTTATAGAGAATATCATTGATCCATCAAAAATAGTTCCTATCAAACTGCCTTGTAAGAAGAAAACTTAACAATTGTTGACGCCGCCGCCGCCGGAAAAAACAACACCTATGTCTTGCCTTCCGTGATTTTCGACGCAGGTGAGACAAACACTAAACTATTTACAATATAGCAGTCACTGATGGAAACTTACAGAGCACCAGCTGTTTATATTTTCGTTGCAATTTTGAAAAAAATGTACAAAGTGAAAGAACTTACTTAACCTAGAATTTTCCATAAATTTTCAATTTTCGTTAAAAAAAAAACCATTCCAGGAATTATAGACATGATAAAATCGAAGTGATTATAATCGGAAGGATATTCATGGTCGAACGTTGATCAATCATAAACTGTTGTGTTAATATATATTGTTATATGACTTCCTTTAATATAACGTCCTTGACCTAAAAGGGTGTAGCTGCGACGAGTTGAAAATAAAACTATTTATATATATAATCGATATAAGGAAACAGACACAGTTTCTATCGGTTTTGTGTATGTTTATACGATATATTTATGTAGATATATAGATATGGATATTTACATTTGAAAAGAAGTCCATAAATGAATGTTTAATTTGTCCCATTTTCTTTGATTGATTCATGACTGTTTAACGTCCAGTGGCAAGCATATTCAGGCTTATTCAGAACGATAACATAATAAATAATATACCCTGCGTTGTACAAATGTACCACATCCATACGCAGAGTGGCATTTTTAGCGTCCTAACTCACTATGTAACAAGTCGCAAGAAGAAATGTCACCCAAATCGCATACGTTATTTCGACTCCGAGTCGACCAGTCTATGCTCCAATTTATAAAATATGACATGCTTCGCAAATGAATGTTATAAATACTTATTTAAAGGTCTTGGTATGACCTAGCTAAGGGTCGAATTCCACGAACTCCCGTAAACGATACGAGCACGCCAGCACGTGACCATCGAGGCGTTTCCATTTTTCTTCCACCTAACATTTATGATTATAATACTGGCGGGAATATCAAGCTGTGTTACTCATTATTTAAGTCCATTTGAGGTCAATAAATCTTCGAAATGATGAGACGATGATGATGGTTTGGTATTGAACGTCCAGTTGCAAATATTACATGCATGTAAGGACGAAAACATGTTAAAAATAATCGGACCATTTTATTAAAAAAATCGTAAGGGGTTCCGCGGAACCCTGTGTCTCGCCTACGATTGCTGCTGTCAGTGTAAAAGTGTAATGTTGACTTAAAAAGTGAGTCTATTTGTCAGTAAAATACAGAATTTAAAAAAAAGTCCATCTATCAGAAAAATATTTTCAAACGTTTGCTTCAGACATTATCTTTTAATCATAAAAAAGCTTCTGCCAAAGTTTCATTAAATTCTATGAAGGTTTGACAAAGTAATTGATGTGTAACAAACTTTAACCCCAGACTATATCTACCTGTTAACTGAAAAAACACTAAGTCAATTTATCAGTTAAATACGAAAAAAAGAAAATAAATATTTTCAACATTTTGCTCTGGATACTGTATTTTGGTAATTAACGAGCCTCTGTCCAAATTTCATAAAAGTCCATAAGGTTTGATGAAGTTATTGTTGACTGAAAAAATTTAACCTCAGACTGAATCTGAATGTTAACTGTAAAAAAAACTAAGTCCATTTATCAATAAAAAAACTGAAAAATGAAAATAAATATTTTTAAAATTTTGCTCTGGATACCGTATTTTGGTCATAAGCAAGCTTCGGTCCAAATTTCACAAAATTCCATGAAGGGTTGACAAAGTTATTTATGTCTCAAAAAACTTTAATTATAGACTGAACCTAAATGTTGACGCTGCCGACGCCGACGACGGAATCTAGGATCGCTATGTCTCGCTTTCGCGACATAAATGTCGCAGGCTCGACAAAAATATATATCAAAACATTTGCACATGTAAACTTTTACTAAATATCATATAAATGTCTACATGGGAAACAGTAAAATGCACAATCTACTATACAGTATACCCCTGCGAACGGCTGGGTTACTGAAGTTAAAATCGTTCCTGTTGAAGAGACCTCTTTAGCTGAGGATGGATGAAGCGTCATCAGCAAGGAGTCAAAAGAATCTTTTTTGTTCGTTTTCTTTTTTCTGTTTTATAACCTTTGCCGCACTTGTCATGTAACATTTAACTAACTTACCCTTAATGAAATTTCTGCATCCTCGCCCACGCCTCGTATGGAGGAACCTCTACTCCGAGTGGACAACCTGGAACGAAAACTTTTCATCAGAACAAATATTTACAGCCAACTGCCTAAAATATCCATGGTAAATCAGGAAATTATTATAAACTTTGATAAAACGGGGAGGGAGGAAGTCAAAACACAAGTATATCCGGTGATGTATGCTTTGTTACATGTAAAATGATTCAATGACCTAGCTATTATATTAACAAGTGTTTATAGATGGTTGCAGTGAATTTAAAATCGGAGATACAACTGTATAGATAAGGATTTGTACATCCACTAAGTTTGTTGAGAGTCCTTTTAAATGCTGGACAGTTTATCCCAAAAATAATTATATGTTAATCACTATACTGTATATTTTTACATAAACATTTTTTTTTTAATTTTGTTTCTATTTTTGTCATACATAAACGTACAACTATTAGCAGAGTAATGGACTTCTGCTATTAGCAATACAAAAAGTTTCCATGTTCATGCATTCACAGTTTTAAAAGTGTGTAAGATATACTTAAATAATTTAAATGTCATGTGAATGTCATTGAATTTTATGACAAGTGAACCTACTTGCTCCATTATTTCCGATGATTAATTATAATTGTAGGACTTCCATTTATTTTAGTTAAGAGAGATACGGAAAACTTTCCCCTGTATTCATTTCACAGCAGGACAAGGGACTTCCAGTATTTTTGTAAATTCAAACAAATATGATACTAAGAGAATGTCAGAGCTGAGCTGTTGTCGGTATATATTTATATATCTATTAAAATAATAAATAGTCCGAATAGTATACCACAGGAAAGAAAATTCCATAAAAAGAAAAAACAATAAACACATTCAAAACTAAGGACTGAGCAACACGAATCACTAAAAAGGGTGATCTCAGGTCCTCCGTAAGGGTATTCAAACTTCACGTATTTCACACCGACCATCTGTTTGTGTGTGTTGGGGAGAGGGGGCGAAGGCGTTTTTTAGTGATGTCATTGGTCTCCAAAAAGCGTTAGAAATGGTAAAGCCAATCCATATGGGAAAAATACATTCAAATAAAATTTCAAAATACAAACGAAGCATATACTTCATTTCCTTTAGAGTGGTACCAATATCTTCATCTTCCTTGAAGAAGAATCTACCAAGTTTTGTTGAACTTTATCGAAGATGAGATGCAGATTAACACAGTGTCTACTGTGACGCGGATGACGATGACAATGCAAGACGACAGGGTAACCCCTGCGTATATTGCTACACCACTAGACGTTGCCTGGTATCCTGGCTCACTGCTCGAGAGTAGCCTATCGACGAAGTATTTGGCTGGGTCAGGATGCCAGGCTGGCTGTCAGGAGATACAAGAGGGTCCAAAAGGGTACCACTTTAAGGTAACAAATTGCCTCAGGTCACCATGTCACTTTTAAGCAAACTATACAGTTCTAATATGATTTGATTCTCGGTTTTGAACCTTTTTAAAGGTCACTGACAGGTACTTTTAAATTAGGCGTCGCCCGCCAAATTCTGATATGGGCTAGCCTATTAATAACCATATCTTCTTTTAATAAGGAACATTCAATATCAATTACACACGCACTTATCTAAAACGTATAAATATACATGTATTGACGTACCGTATCGTAATTCGAGGTGACTCAGTCCATATCAATCTGTATATACTAGATTTCTACTTAATATCATAAAGATATACTATCCATAATAAATAATACATTTGCATATCTTATAGATACACATTTTATTTATGTCCAAAAATGTACATGTGAAAAAATATTTAAATCCAATATATACTGATCAATTGGCATTTGCTAGGGCTATATCAAGGCAAAGGACATAAAGTTAATGACATAAAATTAATGTGAAACTGTCTTCTAGCAAGGTTTTAAGGTCAAAGGTAAAGTTAGAAGGTGAAGGGTACGTAAGCGCGGTTTCTTGTCTGAAATGGGACAACTTGATCTTGATGAGATAAAAAAATTGAAAAAAATATTGTATTTTGGCTTAATTTATAGTACATTTTGTATTATGGGGTTTAAAAAACTTTTCCAGTATTTAACTGAAAGACCTTTTGTTCGCATTGAAAACTATTTATTTTGCCTCAGAACACAAAACATATGCATTGCTTTCATCCACTTCATTTGAACTATGGTGGATAGATGTCTCATTGGCAATCATACCACATCTCCTTATCTTCAAACATGACAGAACTACAAGGCAGATCTGATCATTTTTGCTTATTTAAGTTTCTATCTATTATAATTTTTAAGATATAATGCAAAAACGCAAAAAAATGGTAAAAATCGTCATCAAAAGTCAATAACTCTAATAAAGAGTCGACTGACAATTTCAACCATTAGATTTATTTGTAGAACTTGTCTTGCTGATCATTTTTGCAATTTTCAGTTTCTCTCTATTGTCTATCTATTATAGTTTTCAAGATAATAGGCCAAAATGAAAAAAAAATGATAAAATTTGTAAGTTAAGGGCAATAACTCCTATAAGAAGTCAACTGACAGTTTTGACATATAAGGACAATTGGTAGAGCTCAACATTTTGAACATTTCTGCCCTTGTCAGATTTTCTCTATTTGTAACGGTTTTCAAAATAATAGACAAAACTTGCATTTTACCCCTATGTTCTATTTTTAGCCATGTCGGCCATCTTGGTTGACATGGCAGGGTCATCGGACATATGTTTTAAACTAAATACCCCTATGATGAGTGTGGTCAAGTTTGGTTAAATTTGGCCCAATAGTTTCAGAGGAGAAATTTTTGTAAAAGTTAACAGATAACGACGGACTACACTGTGATGAGAACAGCTAACTTGGCCCTATTGGGCCAGGTGAGCTAAAAATTGCATATGGGAGCACAGAAAGGACAGACAGAGCATAGAAAGGACAGAGGGGAATATAGAAAGAGCAGAGGGGAGCATAGAAAGGGCAGGGCAGTGTTTCTGCTGGTGATCGCCATTTTAGCATTTTGCAAAAAAATATAATTGTGGCGGTTAAAAATGATTAGAGAAAGAATTTGGCGAAAAAAATATAACCATCATGACCATTGACTTCTTCCATCTTTTTACTTTTGTTTCAGGTTTGGAGGACTTTTTTCCTGATCAGAAAATATTCAAATGATATTCGAATTTTCTCTAGACTGATAAATATGTCTCAAATCTGATCAATATAGACATAGGTATCAAGCTAGGGGACACCCGGACAGGACTCCTCAGTCTAGGATTTCATCTTTAACTCACATCTATTTTGTCAGGAAATCGATAATCAGCTGATGTCCCAGCTCTCAGTTGGAGAAAATTGTTCCAATTTCAATACATCAGGATATGGTTTTCACCCATGGTTTTAATAAGAGTTGCTATTATCTAAAAGAACAAACTACAGGCATAATAAGGGCAATATCATATGTATTCATCATAGTGTGCCAATTGTAGACAAGAGTGCACATGCTGAAATGTCTCGCCTTCTTTACTGACCATTGATTTTATGTTGATAGTCCTAAATATAAAGCTTTACTACAAGTATCACACAAACTTGACATGATTCAAGAAAATGAGGTCAAGGTCAGATAAACCAAACGGGGAAATACATGTACACCATACAATCATTCAATACACCTAATATAGTTGCCCTATTGCTTATAGTTTCTAAGAAACAGACTTAACCAGGAAAACTAAACATTGACCAATGAACCATGAAAATGAGGTCAAGGTCAGATGAACCATGCCAGACAGACATGTACACCTTACAATCAATCTATGCATTAAATATAGTTGACCTATAGCTTATAGTATCTAAGAAACAAAATTAACCATGAAAACTTAACATTCACCAATGAACCATGAAAATGAGGTCAAGGTCAGATGATACCTGCCAGACAGACACTTACACCTTACAATCCTTCCATACAACAAATATAGTTGACCTATTGCTTATAGTTTAAGAAAAACAGACCAAAACACAAAAACTTATCACTGAGCAATGAACCGTGAAAATGAGGTCAAGGTCAAATAAAACCTCAGAGACTGACATGTACATCATAAAATATTTCCATACACCAAATATAGTTGACCTATTGCATATAGTATTAGAAAAAAAGACCAAAACACAAAAACTTAACTTTGACCACTGAACCATGAAAATGAGGTCAAGGTCAGATGACACCTGCCAGTTGGACATGTACACCTTACAATCATTCCATACACCAAATATAGTAGACCTATTGCTTATAGTATCTGATATATGGACTTGACCACGAAAACTTAACCTTGTTCACTGATCCATGAAATGAGGTCGAGGTCAGATGAAAACTGTCTGACGGGCATGAGGACATTGCAAAGTACGCACATACTAAATAAAGTTATCCTGTTACTCATAATAAGAATGAAATTAACACTACAAAAAATCTTTATTTTTTTTTTCAAGTAGTCACTGAACACTGAAAATGAGGTCAAGGACAATGGACATATGACAGATGGAAACTTCATAACATAAGGCATCTATATACAAAGTATGAAGCATCCAGGTCTTTCACCTTCTAAAATATAAAGGTTTCCGCCGCCGACGAATCACTATCCCTATGTCGAGCCATCTGCAACAGAAGTCGCAGGCTCGACTAAAAAACTATATTTTAATGAGTCAAAGACCATTCATCTTTGTGGGGATTGGAGGAGATGGGGTCTTGGCCCTCTTGGGACAAACATTTTTTTGTTGATTTAATGAAAAATAAAATTATTGTTTTTTCAATAAGTTGTGAATAACACATATTGAACCAATTAAGGGCTCATTGACAACTTGATTACAAAATACAACAATTTAAAGGTACTCCCACAGTCTGTATCACTCTGCTCAGCTCTTAATAAAATTGCATATCAGGGCTTAATTTGTGACATCAAATACATTACCCGGCCTTATTACTTTGACCTGGACATATCACTGACGTCATAATGAAGGAACCGACGTTGATAAGTTTGACCCAAACTTATCAATTAAGGATGTTCGCTTGTCATGTTTTGGAATTTTTGTCAGATTTTCGGAATCCTCTGGTTTTATCCATTTGAATGCCTTAAAAAATTTTGCCCACTAACCCCCATTTTTCTTTTTATAAATCTTTAACATTTACAATTATAAGCCATCTGTAAAAGTCTT